ACGTAGCGTGACAAATTTTCTGTCACCGTACCTATACCAGACACAATCGGTCTACCGGGAATGTTTTCTTTGTGAATTTTGGGTAGGGTGTAGAACCTACCAGCCACCGGGCTTAGTGGAATCAGCGTACGTAATGCAGACTGAGCGATTTTGTTTTCTTTTACAAGATCTGTAACAACATCACTGACAATGCGTTTAAATTCCGCTGTCGGGTCGTCATTTAGACGCCTGTAGTATGTGGTGTCATCAAGTTGTCTCTGGGCTTCACCAATATAGCTGTCAGCATTCAATACCACTACTGCACCACCTTTATCTGCTGGCTTAATTACTATATCATTGCGGCTAGCCAATGCTTTGATAGCCTGAGCCTCTTTAAAGGTGACGTTATGGCGGAAGGGAAAACGTGTTTTGTACGCTTGAAGTACATCATCCTGTACAGCTCGTATATATAAATCGAGGCATTTATCCCGTTGAGTGGGTGGTGTCCAGTGTTTACCAGATGGTAACGCGGAGTTGGTTTGTTCACTTGGTTGGCGGTTGAAAAAGTACTCGCGCAATCGCATGTTTCTTTCAAAGTTATGAAGATCGGCAATGAGCGTGAATTCATTGTAGCCGCCAGTTGCGGGACAAAAGTTTAAACCTAGCGACAAAACCTTAGATTCTTCAAGACTTAATTGATGACTAGATAAATTCACTATATTAGTAAGTTGCCCGGTATGCTTAGCAGGGTCGGAAACACTTCCATGCGCTTCGGAATACAAAGCAACGGGTATGTTATCCCGAACCATTTTCCTCCGCTTGACATGGTTAATTTCATTCAGCTTTTTCTGCCTGTACAAGTGGAGCTCCTTGTTTTCTTCACTGCTTAGGACATGTGTGGCACGCAGCTGTTTCTCCTTATTAGCTAGAACCTTCGCGGACGATTCATAATGCTTTGAAATGATCTCGGTCAATTCAATAGAAGCTCGTGCTAGCGTGTTGTTCCATTTAGTCAAATGTACACTCGACATTTCAGAAACCGCAGGTTTCAAGGACAGGCATAAGCCTTTAGGCGCAGTGGAAGTAGCAACATACATTTTCATAGTAGATGCATGCAATTCACAGCGCGTACGCTTCTCAATAACTTTACGAATTTTCATGAAATGAACGGATGCATTTAGATAAGCACTCTTACCGAACCTGGTGGTTCCTAGTCAGTTCATTTCATGGGATGGAACATCACGGTGTCCTCGTAAGTTGTACCTCGACTGAGGCATCGTGGCATTTCTGTTGATTGATGTGGGAGCTGGTCCGCGCGGCCCAGAATGTTGCGGCGGGTCGGATGATGTGTCGCGGTCAGGTAAATTCCGCAATCTTGTTCGGCCATTTTGGATCGTTGCAGCACCAGGCATCCTCCGGGGCTGTACGGTAGACGGTCTTTTAGGGCCGCTTGTAGTGGAAGTGCGATGTGAGGACACATTCGGCGCACAGTCAGTCCACATAGACGACCCCATATCTTTGGGGTTGTTGAAACATAATTGTCTAATATGGCATGCTAGCAGTGCGACACCCTCGAAACTTAGATGAAGTCCATCGGCTGCTAGAACATGGCTCGGAGGTAGCCATTCAAACTGGTGGTCCAAATAGGACACAAGTCTAGATCTTCGGCAAAAAACTCGAAGAAGGTGGTTGAAGTGACCCGCCTCCTTGTTGCAGTGACGAACCAAAGGTAGGTTAAAGCTCCCTCGACGACGATTCGTGGACCTTGGTAATATCAAGCTTGCGTATATCCGCTTTATACATGGACGGGTGCTGGCGATGAAGCCAAGCACGTCCCTGTATCTTTCAAACGCAACACGTCCTGAGCACGAAGTCAAGTCATTTGTGCCCACATGAAGGATAAGGGTTTCTGTTGATTGTGGGACGAAGTCCAACAGCGAAAGAATGTCGTTGATCAAGGCACCACTTTGAGTGACGAAAGCGGGCGTTCCATCGATGAGCGGATCAAAATACTGGTGAAGATATTTGGCTTGGGAATCGCCCAATAAAACAGTGGATACGGATCCCTTGGGGAATTTCCCCACGATGCTCTTCGTCGTGACTTTTCCAGAACCCATAGTCGTGAATATTCAGCAGGAAGTTCAAGGGGTCTGGTACGTATAAAGAACACAAGCGAGTACACGTACGAAAGAGCAATACTTTTATGCCAACGTTTCAGCCGTGGCACGGCCTTCGTCAGGGAATAAAGAGTAGACAAGCAGATGCCCCTTTTAAGGGCCGTTGAAATCACACAATTGATCAGAATAGTGATTAGAAAGTGCGAAAGCAATACCAAAACAACATTGTCAGTATAATTTGATACGAGTATTGAGCAACAATATCGCTGTGGATAACTCAAGATATGAGCGCATAGCTTCAGCGTAGGGCAAATTTTTATGCGTAGGGCAAATTTTTAAAGCAATAAAGCACTTCATAAGCCAAGCGAATATCATGAGCACATGTCACGCACACTGTAAGATACCCGAGGGACAGTAAACAAAATTCAACTGGTAACTGAAGCGTCAAGTTTGATGCCAAACTACTGCATGCGCACATATAATAAATGGAAGCACACACAAAAAATATATATAATCAAACAAATGAGAGAAGAAACGATGGCATGGGTTGGGGGGCATTTAACGCATTCCTGTGATGGACAATGCTACATAGAAAGGAAAGTAACGCGTCCAACGCTTTCGTTGATGCCTGAGTGCAAAGTGTTGAACTTGTTAATGAGATAGGACTCGCGAACTTCTCGGTCATGATGAGTTTTAAACCCGGATTGTAATATTGTGGCTTTGATGTTTTCGAAAGAGTGCCCTGGCATCTGGACATGTTTTGACAGTGGAAGATGAGGAAGGTTAGAAGCATGGGCTCTGTGGTTGTTAAAACGTAACCTGAATGATGTTTCGGTATGCCCAATGTATTGCATACGGCAAGTGGAGCACTCAAGCATGTAGATAACATTAGCGCTGTCGCAAGTGAAGTCTCCGTTGATTTTTAAGGAAAAGTTTGATGCGGTGCTAGTTGCGGTATGAGTACTTGACATGTGCGGGCAAACCTTGCAGCGGGGCTTATTGCAAGGATGGCAACCACTGTAGTTGGACCGATTAATTATTTTCGATGATGTTAATGTATCATGCAGGTTGCGTGATCTGCGGTAAACTACCCTCGATGGTTCCGTAAAAATGTCTTTTAAGTGATCACTTTGTTGCAAGATATTGTGGTGTTTTCTTAGAATATTGGCCACATTAGGAACCGAAGCTGAGTGCGTAAGGATGAGGTTAACACTGTTACGTGAAGTGTTTGCAGATCGTTTGTTGCTTGTGAGCAACTCTTTACGGTCAATGTTGTTAGCCTTCTTGAGGGCGTCGTCTATGATTCCCGATGGGTATCCTTGCCTCGTAAGAGCACCTCGTAGGTCTTCGCAGTTGCGAGCGAAATCATTGTTATCAGAGCAGATGCGTTTAAAGCGAATGGCCTGACTATATGGAATACTGGTTTTGCAGTGTTTTGTGTGACTACTATGGAAGTGAAGATACTGATGTCTATCGGTTGGTTTCCTATATAGTTTGGTCTGACTGTGTCAGACCAAACTATATAGGAAACCAACCTAACTATATAGGAAACTATATAGTTGAACTACACAGTTGAATTTTGTTTACTGTCCCTCGGGTATCTTACAGTGTGCGTGACATGTGCTCATGATATTCGCTTGGCTTATGAAGTGCTTTATTGCTTTAAAAATTTGCCCTACGCATAAAAATTTGCCCTACGCTGAAGCTATGCGCTCATATCTTGAGTTATCCACAGCGATATTGTTGCTCAATACTCGTATCAAATTATACTGACAATGTTGTTTTGGTATTGCTTTCGCACTTTCTAATCACTATTCTGATCAATTGTGTGATTTCAACGGCCCTTAAAAGGGGCATCTGCTTGTCTACTCTTTATTCCCTGACGAAGGCCGTGCCACGGCTGAAACGTTGGCATAAAAGTATTGCTCTTTCGTACGTGTACTCGCTTGTGTTCTTTATACGTACCAGACCCCTTGAACTTCCTGCTGAATATATATATATATATATATATATATATATATATATATATTTATATATATATATATATATATATGTATATATATATATATATATATAATGCCTATTTGCGTAGATAATTATGCATGGCAAGTAACCTAGTTTCTTGACATTCGTCCTCCCCTCTCATTTTCAAACGTGAGCCAGTGCATTCGAAAAGCAGTACGGAAGCACGAACTAGGCACAATAGAAAAAGTAAACTATTTATCTCCCCTATTGTGAGAATAACTACAACACGCTAACGGCAGGAGCGTCGGCGCTAATCTTTTACAAGGGGGACGGGGCGGGGAGAGGCCACCTCCTTTATTTGGGCAAGAACGGCCCCTAAATGGTCATTTCTCGCTCTTTATGCAGTGACCAAAAAGTTCAAAATGAGGCGGGGCACACAGGGCTGGTGGGCCAGCCCCTGGCTAACAATGCTTGATTTTGGTTCGTTGCGCTTAGCCTCGCAAAAATACCTGAGCAGCTGCACACTTTCTGACGAGTGGACATCTTTGAACCAGCAACTCGTCACACAGCTAACGTGTTCTGAAATATGACGCAATTATATGGTTGTACAACGCAATATTAAGCAGGTTAGAGACACTATATCTACCACATGACATCTATACATCATTTTCCTACGAAGCAGCTCCAAGCATTGGCATGGCTTTGCGGTAGAACGCCTCCTTGCCATGCTGAATGCCTGAGTTCGATTCTCACTCTGGCTGAACATATTCCACTTATTTCCATTTATTTAAATTTTTTTCTCACAGACAGCGTTTTTTTTTTTTTTGCTCTCAGCCACAAGCGCGAACACTGGCGCGGAAATTTCTGCGAAACGAGCTTTTTAAGGCTATAACGTTTAAAAAAAAGCGGGGGTATAGTGAAACAACGGTGACCACTCACAGACGCATTGGGGGACCTCGGCCGTCCAGTGGCCAGTCACTTGGCAGGTTCTGAGCGATTCGCCCTGCACTATGTGGCCCGTGACGCAGCGATACTGAACCGTCGAGCCAATCTTGAACGACTCCGATGACGAACGATCGTTGCCGCCGTAAACGACAGTGGCGTTCTTCGGTATCTCCGGTGGAGGGCAGCGAATCTCTGTCAAAACAGAAATATAAAAAATTGACTTACGAAGCATGTTTCTCTTTTGTTCTTTTTTGTTTTTTGTTATTTGGAGACGGGGGGGGGGGGGGGGTGAAATCGTTAGACAGGTAACAAGAACCACAGATGACAAACGTCAAACATCAACTGAATTTTATTGCTGTGGCGTGGTGTTCTAGTGATAATGGTGCTAATGGTGGATGTAGCGGGATCGAATCTCGCTACATTCCACTCGCATTTCGAATGGAGGTGAGACTGTTTGATGCCTGTGTACTTAGATTGAAGTGCGCATTAAAGAGCCCCGCGTGGTCGATATTTTCGTAGCCTTCCACTACGGCGTTCCTCTTCACCAGGTCATGGTTTTGGGATGCTAAACTGAAACAATTATCATTAACTGAATTGCGTTGGTGAGAAAAGAGAAAAAACAGTGCCATGCCACATTTCATTAGGAGAAATCATTAGAGCCTCCACACAAGCGCTTCATTTACTTTTTATATAGGTCACAGCAAAATAGAACAGCCTGATCAGCGCGGGGAGCAGAAGAAACACTTATAGTATGCACCATTACGCAAAAGTGCGCCAAACTGGCAGTCACTTAATCGAAACGCGGTAAAGGATCAGCAGTGAGTAATAATAACTATCGTCGCTTAGCATTCCAAAACTATGATATGACTATGAGAGAAGGCGTAGTAGAGGGATTCCGAAATTACGATCACTCAGTGTTCTTCGACGGTCCCCTCAAACTGAGTTCAGGGGCTTCAAGCGCTGTCACCTTTATGAAGAATTAGGCACCGCGGCCGCGAAAAGACCCCGCGAAGTTCGAATCAATAGGCGGAAGTCGAAAGTTTTCACCCAAGCTTAATTATCCGCGCTGTTGCCTGGGATTGGCATGTTGTCGGCTAATTTTGCCTAAATGTCAGCAAATGTAGATTCTACGCTATTGTAACATAAACATTGGCTTCCTGTAATCTGCACACTGGGTTGAATTCAGATATTTAAAAAGAACAACCCGATCCCTGTTGTAGCCTAGTATTCGCTTGTTTGTTATCGGCTAATAGTGGCTAAAGTTCGGCTAAAGTACACCATTCAATAATACAACAGAAATATTGGCTTCATTTAATCTGTATCCTACGTTGCTCTCACATGTACACAAAGTACCTAATCCCTATTGTTGCTAGTATGGACTTGCGATCAGATAATATCGACTAACGGTCGGAATAATGTAGACCAGCCGCTTTTATAAGCAAAAACATTCGCCTCATTCAACTCGTATACCCCAATTGTACCCGTATATATACACACAACTGCCCGAGTTCGATATAAAGGTACCAAGCATTACCATTCTTCATTTGAATAGAAAAAAACATGTCTGAATCGGTTGCACCTGATTTTCCTTTTTCACTAGTACTGCAGGTCACGATAGCATGGATGCATTGTTTTCGTTACACATGAGTAAGAGTTGGTTCTCCGACAACTTACCTTCGCACTTGGGTGGCGTTCCGTTCCAGCGGCCGTCCAGTCCACAAGTGCGCACGCGCACTCCGTTCAGCCTGTAGCCCTGGCTGCAGTAGTGCGCGATCTGGGAACCCAGGTAGGTGGAGCCGTTCTCGTAGGACACTTCGCCTTTAAGGATGGGTGGCACGCGGCCGCAGTCCACAACTGTCGTCACGAGAGGAGGGCGAGAATAAAGGAAAATGATAGTAAGGGGAAAAAAAACAACGCAGTCGACAGGTTTATGCACCATATTCTTAGGCGCTTTCATTGCCTTATTTCGGCGTATTCCAATTTCAACTGTGAAAATCATTAGCAATGTTCAGCGCAGACCACACCGCACTGTTTGGAAAGCTGTGTGAGCACCAGTTATGACACTAGAATGTCCGATGACTGGTGTATAAAATAAGATGCGTTCGACCTACACTCACACTACTTGACGTCCGATGACTGCTTTCACCGCTATGAGTACACAGTGCGAATCACTTGTATCTTGACTTTCTATTCTCCGTGCATCACTTCTCCCCAAGCAGCTTCATCTTTCCCAGTCTTTTTGCAGCCTTCTTAACCGTCACAACGTCGTGGCCATATCAATAGACGTATGTCAGCGATAGCAAGGGCAAATGAACAATAAATAAGTTGTGGCTTTTAGTGTGCCGAAGCTTCAGAATGCCATTAAAAAGCCTCAGTGGAGTTCGGGTCTTCCTCCATTCTTAAGAAAATAAATTGAAATTGAAATTGAATTGAACGAGTAACAACTCTATCAATCGAATTGCTGAGGAATAAGGTACACTGACCTACGTAGGCTGTCAGTCGCGATGACTCTAGATTAGTTTTGTCCACTTAGAGCTCTCTAATGCCAGTCTGAATCTAGAAATAAGGGCACTTCTTTTAACACCCACCATGGTTTCAATTTCAGGCACTACAGACGGGATTGTAATTCGCGCCTTAACTGTGCTTAGCAGCCATACTGGTAAGTGGCATCATGAACTTATTATGCAAACACATTCGTACGCGTTTGTCTGTACATTCTAATTCGATAGAACATGACAGTGGGACGCACCTGCCTGTTCATTGTTGCGCATGTGCGAAAAATTGCGAGCCCTTTTTTTTGTAGCTCCAGGGTGTTTGGTTTAGCTAAAAACCAAAAGGCACGTAAAGTCCTGGACGCCTTGTGAATAGCTGGACATGACCCAAATAACTGCCTCAGCAATCCATCTACATCTAGATACAACAGTGTGTCCTTGTTGCCATAAAAAAAGTGATTCAACTCACAAGTGCACGTTGGTGGTACGTCTGACCACTGTCCATTGCGGAGGCAGGTTCTGGAGTCCGGCCCGTCCATGATGTGACCCGGATGGCATTTGTAGTGCACTGTGTCATGGACCTGAAAATCCTCTTCGATCACGTAACCACCGAGTGGAATCTCCGGCTCCCCGCACGAAATCACTGCGTTGACGACGTGATGGGCAAAAATGCTTTAACCTGGCAGCGTTATAACGTCCGGAACTCTTTAGGCCTCGTCATTGATGAGAATTCGTTCATTAACTGAGGTTTTTAACACCATCATACGTGTGATGTTTTCTGATGCAAGCTGTTCTTGGCTCATTTCTTATATTCTTGTACCAATTTTATATTATACAACAAAGTTTGCCTTTTGTACTTTATTCCTTAATTAAATGAAATATCAGTGCATCCGGCCTTAATTTCTTGTCAGCTTGATGCTTTATCACTTGATTTACTTAGCTTTGTCCATTACTTAATAACTAAAAATCAGATCTACAGCTTTTGATGAATGCAGCCGTACGAGAATAAAAAGAATAAGATTATGAGCAAAGTCTCATAAACAACTTTCTTTATTTCACTACCACCAATCAACTCCAGACCTAGTATGACGCCTCGAAGCTGGTGCTATAATTTCGTTTATACTTTATTGCTCCCGGTTATTAGGTTTTCGCGTATGACTTCGTACGTCACTTCCAATAGAGTGTACGCAAGACACTATAATGGCTGCATCACCAATTGGCTGCATCACCGCCGAGCTTTTCGGTCCAGCAAGAAAGCGTGTCTTTTTTTTTGTTGTTGTTTACTAGCTTTCTTTTTAGCGACCATGCAACACACAAGATAAACGAGCCATTACCAGTAATTCGTACAACACAAACGAGTGATATGCGTGCCGGCTAAATCCTATATTATTTTGAATAATATCATGAATATGCATATTTTTGGTCTCAGATAAAGCGCTCAGACTACACCAGCAACAATGCAAAAATAGGCGCGGTGTGTCGTATACCTTTAACACTGGGAAAATGACGGGAAACAATATCTAGACAAACAAAACTGGGAAGCAGCTTGCCCGCACTTTGGTAGGATATTCATAAATAGTGAAAGTGGCTAACAGGGAGAGCATTTGCGGCTCCAGACAGCCGACAGCCGCGTATAGAGAAAAGATCGAAACAAACAAGCCAAGCAACCTTGACAGAAGAAATCACAATGCTCATGAACATTCGCTCAAGAGAGGCTAAACTTAGTAAGGCGTTTTTGTTTTCACTATACATTCCGCCTACTCAGTCGAACATATGTCTAACAAGGTTGTGCGTGTACAAAAGACCAGCGTATACTGCTTCTGAAACGAGGGGGCTTGTCAAGTCAAGGAATGGTCGATGCCACCGCCGGAAATATTAGAGAGGGGCGTCTTGGTGGACGCCGTCGAGTTGTCGGGAGGTTCGGTCGCATTCACGAGCGCAGCTTCGCGAGCAACGGTTGCCGCCGGCGCTTCGCTTATTGTGCACTGAGGCTCACTTTCGCAGGAGGGCTCCACGTCGCTCCAGAGACCTGTCTCTAGGCACGTCCTCGTGTCGACACCGTTCAGCGTGAAGTTGTCCCCGCAGGAGTAACGGGCCACGCTCAGATAAGTCGAGGTGCCGTTGACTAGGTACACGTCACCGTCTTCCAGCGGCCGGGGCTCGCCACAAGTCGATATCTGCGTAAGAAAAAAAAAAGAATGGATACTTTCGAAGTGTTCTTAGCTGCGTCCTTACGATAACTGCAAGTCATTTTTTTTTTTATTCTCTAATCGCTAACCTGTCCCAACACTTCGCAAACGCCTAAGTGTGCACAAGGGCCTCGCATGAGTCAACGAGATATAGTTCAGTCCTTTAGCCTCCATTTGATGAAATATCTATAGCGTACTTGCGGACATTTATTATTCAAACTATTTCTCGAAGTGACACTTTCCCTTTAAAGTGCTAAGCCAAGCGTGAGGGAGGGCTCGCGTCTTCAGGAAGCTCTCCGCTTCTCTGTTTTGACACCAACTATAGTGTTCTGAGAACGCGATCACAAATAATGAACCCATTATCCTCAACCATATGCAAACTATATTCCACACTCTATATTCACATGATCGATTTAGTGTTTACATACAAACACACAAACACACGCACACGCACGCGCATGGCTCTAAATATAGCAAGAAAAAATACTTACATTGCTGTTGCACAGTGTCCAAAGTGTGATCGCTTAGACCTGTTCATGCTCATCAATTATTCCAGCCAAACGAAGTCAACGTTCCAAATCTATACTACACAGGTGTAAGCAGTTCAATTTGAGTGCCACTAGAAGGGGACTCACACTTGCAGGTGGGGTCATCCCCGCTCCACGTTCCTCCGAGCTGACAGTAGCGGGTATCGTTGCCGATGAGCTTGTGGCCAATGTCACACTTGTAGTGCGCCCTGTCGCCATAGCGGCGCCCCTGCACGTCCAAGCTAGAGCTCGGCACCGGAGACAGCATCGTGCAGTAGCTCTCTGCAACAAGAGGCGCGCAGGAAAAGAATGAGTAAATATGTCTTCCATTAGATGGTACTTTCGCGAAAGCATGCTCTCTTCGCATAGGAATGACAGACACTTCTATATGTAAATGGTTTTGAGTCGACTTGACCTCGGACCATTTTGTGTGCAGAAGATACTAGGACCTTGGGCATCTGCCTCAGTTGCGCAGAAAGCAACTAAAGCACTGCTTCTTTACCTTAAGTCAACAAACCTGAGCGACCGCCTGTGAACTGTGTGTGCTCACCGAGTGTGCTCGTGATTGTGTGTACCTTTTTATCTCTCTGCAACCTCTTTTCTCCCATTTATCCCTTCCCCAGTGCAGGGTAGCAAACCGGATGTGCGTCTGGTTAACCTCCCTGCCTTTCCTTGTATCTTTATCTCTCTCTCTCTATATGTAAATAGTGCAACTGCGACGAAACGATAGAACGTCTTATGTTTTTGTAATCGCTTCTTGGGCGAACGGGGCGTTTTTTTTTTTTTTTCACAATGCGCTGAATTAACAAACTAGACACCAGACCATTTTCCGAAAAGAAGACCCTCGAATAAAGGGCAGCATTGCGTGCCAGCAAAGCGACGCGGGCTTTCCTGCTTTTCTTAATTTCTACGAGTTTTAGTGGTCGCTTTCAGGCGTCTAATACGCAGGCGAACACGGGTATACCTTATTTGCTCTTTTTTTTTTTACTGCGATAGCGATTATATGAACAATTTCGAAGAGTCTTTTTTTTTAATGTCGCCGCTATGCACTGTACGAAGCTCAATCTGATATCCATCCGCGCATCACATGTTTTACCACGGATAAAAAGCGCGGGGGCGGCAGCTGAAACAGAGATCAAAACGAGCCGACCTATCTTCGTCGCTATTGCACGGGAAGCCTGCCGTTGAAGCAGAGAGGAAACGCCCCGGCCGTCTTCAACCAGCCCGAAAACACGCGAGGGGGCCTACGCTCGAGCAGAAACTTTGAACTTTGATTTTAAGGGCGTTGTCGCGATCGCTCGCGCGCGCGCTATCTCGGGAGGTCTCAGTGGGCGGCTCGTGACGCAAAAGAGAGTACGGTAGGAGCACCTCTCCCTGGAGTGGCCGTGCTCTATTGCATCAGCGTTTTGCGGCGTTACCCGTGACCCGAAAATAGTTAGCTGCTAACCTCACTTCGCGTAACGTTACAATGTGTTGCAACCGCAATAATTGTTTAGCCCTAACTGTAGAAATGACTTGTTTTTCTTCCTTTTGATCTCTTGAACCCTTCCCTAGCGTAGCGTAGTAAACCAAACACACGTATGCTTGCCCCCCCCCCCTGCCTTTGCTCTCGTTCATCCTCTTCCTCCTTATCTTCTTAAATGAATAGTGTGCAGCTTTTAACGTTACAGTACTGTTGCACTTGCTGCACGTCTGCGACATGCTGCACCAAAGGAGTCGGGATAATTTGTATTGTTTGTATACAGCCACATGAGCGTAATGTGGAGTGACAGGAAGGAGGACAATATAAACACTGTGTAATATCCTTAAACACACGACTAAAATAGGAACGACATGCAACTCTGTCCAGCGCTTTTTACAGGGTTCACCTCGTCTAAAGTGAAGACCTCATTGAAATGCAAGCTGGTAAAACAACGTTCATTTCACTTCAGAAATGTCTGTTATATGACGCCTAATCAAAGAGCGAATACACGTAAATACAATAAACGCAAAATACAAATCACGTAATAAACATCAGCTTCTGTGAGGTCTTGGTTACTGAAGAGGTATAAAACTTAAACGCATACGACCACATTCGACTAATCGAAAGGACGTGCACCAGCAGGGACAGGTATGAGTGATAATTGCTGATGCTTAACATTTATTTATTTTTTGCCTATCCACATGTTATTCCTAAAGTACATTAATGAGCGATTGATCAGCTACAACGCGAAGTCGAGCTGAAGTGTAGAAAAGAGAGGCCTGAACTTCACATCACGAAGGCCTATCAATAAAACGTTTTATGTTAATACATTTTGTGATGTTCCTGGCCGTGTAATTGATCCAGCTTCACCGGAGCACCTTCACGATTGCAGATTACCAGGGCTGTCACGCTGCTCCCTTCAATAAAAATGAGGTTCTTCTGCAAGTTCACCTCAGTGCACTTAAGTTAACTTTGCTCTCAAGATAGACAGAAAAAAAAACTTTCAGACCCTTGCACCCACTACAGGATTGCTTATACTTTTTGCGAGACGGTCCGAGAGGATGAAAACTTTCCCGCCCGGTAATGTTGGAAGCGCATTACTCTGAACGTGAGCCACATGAGAAATCCACTCCTTGAAAGACGTTGCCTGGTTCTGCACTTGCAAAACGCTCACGTTACCGCTCAGCGAGGTGTGAGATTGTGCAAACATCTCGGACAGGGTTCTTTTCTTCTTTTTTTTATGTCTACGTTGAACAAATTTTTTCGACAAGAAACTTGGATATGTGAAAGAACACACCATGGTGGGAGTGATTTGCATACCTTTGACCACTCCGTTTTCATTTACACATCTCCAAATTTTTACGGGCAGCAGAGTCAAGTGCATGTGGGGAGTCAAATGGGTAATGTCACCTCCCCATTCGCTCCTTTTGGTATTCATCTAAGGATTCTTGAAGACGGTGCTCAGTTGGAGGACCCGTCTTTCGATTTCTTAACGTGTAAGATTGCTTAACGTGTCAGAAAGCTTTGTACTGCCTGCATCAGCTACCTCTCCGTAGCTCACCCTCCCAATGAAGTTATTTTACCGGATATATGAAGATATTTATGCCCGTCTACAGTACACAAATATCGTCATATATCCGTGAAAATAACTTCATTATATGACGATATTTATGCCCGTCTACAGTACACTGCTTCTTTGTCGCCTTTGGTTGGGGGTTGCCTTCACAAAAGCATATAGAACCCTCATCGGATTGACCGACAATGCGGAATGCGACGTCTGCTGCGCCAAAGAAGACATGGACCATCTGATATGCCATTGCCCTCGATTTGCCTCCGAAAGACAGAAGCTTTCCAGCGCATTGCGACAATTGGACGATAGGCCACTCTCAATGCAGATGCTACTGGAACCCCGTCCTCGCCTTTCGTCGGCTCAGAAAGTAGTCAAAGCTGTCTTGTGCTTTTTGAGGACTACAGGCCTACGTGACAACCTTTAACTTTTGTGTAGTGCCACCGCTGGATACGCGCCAGCCGATTGACTGACAATCCTTTTTTTCTCTCTCTCTCTTTCTCTTCTCTTTCCCCTCTCTCTCATCTTTATGCCCCCTTCCCATTCCCCCAGCGTAGGGTAGCAAACCGGGCATGTGCCTGGTTAACCTCCCTGCCTTCTCTCTTGTTGTTCATCCCCCCCCCTCTAAAGTACACACTTGTGGCATGCATTCTGTACAAACGCCATCTTTTATTAACTTTATCCAGATTTACTTATTCTTCTGTGCCCACACCTATAAGCACATGAAACGACTGCAGTTAAAAAAGAAAGTTGTAAAATACCACGTCTACTTATGACAGGTAATAACCGCACAGCCAAACCACGAGATTGAAGTAACTAGAAGAATAAGAATTCAGTGGAGCACATTTGGCAATCACTCTCAAATCATGACTGGTAGATTGGCACTATCCCTCAAGGGGAAGGTATATAACAGCTTCACCTTGCCGGTAATTAGCTACGGAGCAGAAACCTGGAGGCTTACAAAGGGGGTTCAGCTTAAAATGAGGACGACGCAGCGAGCTATGGAAATGAAAGTGACAGGTGTAATTTTAAGAAACAAGTAAGCAGAGAGGATCACGGGACAAACCAGGGGTAAAGGTATCATGGATAAAATCAAGAGGAAAATAAATTGGCCCCGTATCTGCATGTTACACTGCGAAATGTCATCAAAAGACAATAATATTGCGTCTGGAGAGAGTGAGCAAAACACTTATTTGATGTTCTGAGCAAGAAAATCGGTGAATGGTATTCCGGAGGCGCTGCGTTAGAGTGCCTCGAGCATGCAGCGGAGGCGAACGAGCGCATCAAGTCACGTCACACGTGAGACATGAGCGCTATCTGGCAGTTATTTTAGAAAACGAAGCGCGCGGCGTGCGCGCCCTTCTCGGAGGGGATAAGGTGTAGAACGCAAGGCGACGGGTAGGTGCCACCACCGCGTCGTCTTAAAAAGCGTTGGAAACGCTTGCCTTTTCGTGCACGCGTTGCTTCGTCAGCGCAGCGTGGTAAGTGCTATGGTCCTTATAATTACTTATGTATGCATTTTCTAGTAAAAAGACACACATACAGAATATTCACATGTGGGCATGGTGCCTCAGATATGCGCAATAATTGATTTTTAATTGACAATCGCACAAGTATGAAGGCTAAATCTTGAGCAATATTGGTAAGCGCTGCGAATGGGGTCATGCCGTTTGGGGTATCGTTTGGTGCCAGTTAGGGGTATTGTTAAGGCAGGACAAACAGACAGACAGACGAAAACATTTGCGTCGAAGGTCCCCAAGAAAGACTATCGTCTTTAAAAATAGACATGGGCCGGGCACGTAGAGCGCAGTCAGCAGTAACCACTGGTCATCAAGGGTAACTGACGGGATTCCCAAAAAAGGCAAGCGGGTCAAGAGGAGACAGAAAGTTAGGCGGGCAGATTAGATTAGGAAGTGTGCGGGTATAACAGTGGCAGCAGAAAGCACAAGACTGGGTTCGATTGGCGTATCACTGGGAGAGGCCTTTGCCCTTCTGTGAGCGTAGTCAGAATGATGATGATGATGATGATGATGATGATGATGATGATGATGATGGTTGTTCAGGCACGCCACTCCGTGTAGAGCATTAATGATTTCGGGTATGCTTCCGACTCACGTAGGCAGGAGGGCTTCGTTCCGTTCCACCTGCCCTCGGGTCCACATAGCCTCCGCGGCTGGCCCACCAGAGTGTAGTTCGTGTCGCACACGTACTCTACAGTGGCGTTGTACGTCGTCCGGCCATGCAGCAGCACGATGCGGACCGTTGTCCACAGGATCCGGAGCGCCACAGTCCAAGTCTGCAAGGTAACAGCAGTCTAATGAACACTGCGGTGTCAGTGTTACGCGAACACGACTACGCACGAGGTATTGAAGGAAGCTCAACCATAAAATCCAAAAAATGCATAAAGAGTACCGACACCTATCCAAATACACTTTCACTGAAAACCACATACCCTTACGGTATTACTAACATGTGTTGTAAGTATAGTCTGATATGTCATTGGTACTGTGAATGACGTATGCTGCCAATCTATCAGTGTTGAGGCATCAAGTCTAGCTGCCTGTAGAGCAGGCTTTCACGCTGGAAAACCATCGAAATATTGTGGTGAAATAGTTCCTAAATAAATATTTATAATTATAAATGAACAATTCAGTGATTGAAATCAATAGTTGCATGGGACCGTTGACGCTTCGTAACTAGGAAGCTAACCACAATATAAGACGATGACTCTCGCTAAGTGTTAATCTTATCTAGTTCTTTCCATGTGGTAGGCGCCCCTATTCAATCAAAGAAAAATTGATTTTGGAATACCGGAAAGATTGAGCTTCATGACAAAAAGCAACGAAGGCCCTCCTGAAGTTTCTGCGATCGACCCTCCTCGTCGAACATTTGTGACGTTTTAGTGTGTTTGTGTGTTTTCGCTTCCGCCCCACTCTTTTTCTCTCATTCTGTTTTCCTTAATTTTCCGTCTTCTATTTCCCCTTCCCCAGTGCAGGGTAGCAAACCAGACACTTGCTTTCTGGTTAACTTCCCTGCCTTTCTTCATACCATATATCTGTCTCTCTCTCTATAGCAGGAGCCCTCGGAAAGCTTACAACCACCAATGTAACATGCGCACACGTTCCTTCTTTCACAGCACGGCTGAGGTTTTCAATGTGGAGATAAGGCTGGCAAGCGATTGAGAAGGTGGGGCGAGGGAGGCCTGATAACACTGTCGCTATTCTCTTTCAAAGGCAATGCTTAACGCTCCTGTATTTCTTTTTTTATTTCTTTATTTTTCGTTTATAAAATATAGACGCAGTTGTCGGACAACATTCATTAGCTGCAGCAGTCGCAGATCTTAACTGGCAGTGAACCCTTCGATTAATTGCGAAAAAAGTGACCCTCGAGTAGAGTACAAAACTACAGCGATAGACTTGCCGATCTCGTCTAAGTCCTTTGGCTTATCAATCACCGCGTCATTATCTAATTGATCCGATAACTCGCGGCAAAGGGAGGAAATATTGAAGTAATGCACGTTGTTTGGCTAGTTGGTGACACGATTATGAAGTGAAAGTTCACACTGCGCGAGAAAGACCGCGCGTCAGAAGCGTAGCACAAGCTGCAACATTCATCAATTTTAACAAGGAGCGATCGCACCGCTAACTTTGCGTTCTGTGGAAACGCGGCAAGACCACGAGCGTGTTACAGTCCCGAAAGGATTCTAACGAGCACATCTCAGAAATCTATTTTCTTGCATTATAAAATAATGAGCGTGACCTAACACGAGTGGCACTTTGTCCTGCTTTGAAGAATGACTCAAGAGCTCTCTTTTTGTTGTTGTTCTTACTTTGGAAAGAAATTTCGTTTTTTTTTCTCTCTCTCTAGTCGAAAAAACCAGCTGTCGCCATTCTGGCGGCTGGCTGCTTGGTTGTTCCTCAATGTCCTGGCGCAAACCAACACGGGGGATCGGTCACCAATCGGACGGTACCTCAGCTTTGAAATGAAATTGTTTTACCAGACGGGATGTCTAAATAGGCATGCCTAACAACAGTAACAAACAACATATTAATAAAGCATGGATTTAAAATACAATAAATAAATAAGAAATAAAACCCAAACAAGCTACTATGATAGGAAATAAAGTGAATTTGCGCTTAAGCCTAACATTCTATTCGTTTTGTTTCCTTTAGAAAATCGCACATGGCCTCGAAAACGTTTCCATGGCTAAATCCATTTTCAGTTGCTCCAAAGGAAAGGAGCACCGGAAAGGATAAATTTAAAGCAAACCTACAGAGAGGTTCTTCGAACATTCTTTTCCTTTGATTTGTAAATGACCGGCACGCTAAGAGGCAATGATGCAGAGATTCACTCTCATTGCAGTGGAGGCATAAGGGAGACTGTGCCAGACCAGACCCGTGTAGATAAAAATTCAGTGGGGGGACTCAACATCGTAGTCTCGTGATTAATATATCTGCCCTTCTAGAGGAGCACCATCAATTTTTCCGAGGGTACTTAAGATAAGGACACTCAGATGTTGCCAAGCAAGACTTTTATAAAATATATAATCATGACGGTGACAATGTTTTCCAAATTGCGCCACGGTGACAAATGGTAGCATCGGCAATAAAGAAATTATGAGACCATTATTGTGAGGTCACTGAAAGTGAATCTGCATATTCATTTGGGGTTAAACTTTTATAGCCTAGTACCCTAGCAAGCGAATGAGCCTTAAATGTCTTGGGGCAAGGACATAAAACACTTTTAAAGCATTGGAAATCTTAGGTGCAGTGAATGAAGTGCACTCAAACAGCCAGTTTGTAAAGTGACAAAATTTTGAAACCACGCCACGGCAATAAATTCTAGCGTCGGCAATATAGAAATTATGGGACCATTATGTGAGGTCACTGAAAGTGCATCTGCATACTCATTGGTGGTTACACCTTTATGCCCTTATACCCTAACAAGCGAATACGTCGTAAATATTTTGGGACAAGGTCACAAAACACCTCTAAAGCACTGGGCATATTAGGGGCAGTTAATAAAATGCACACAGACAGGCAGTCTGCAAGATTGATACCATCTGGTATGAATAGAGGCGATTTCCGTAATTCTAAGAAAATTGCAAGTAATTCCGATCGATAAATAGGCGTAAAACCAGGTAAACGAGTTGGAAAACACCAATCCAACACTAAAGATGCAATTCCGACTCCTGCCCTTTTTTCACAAACTGAAGCACGAGTTGCTATTACAATCCTTGATTCTAATCTTGCCAGGTGGTCTTTCAAAATAGCATTTAGGTACCTACTGGGAATAATTTTTGCAAGTATTAGGAAATGTATTGTGAAATTCTATATTTATCTTTTTAGATCTTTTTAGAACCAGTACTTCACGAAGTTTTACTTGTAATGTTTCCAAGAACTTCTGTGCGACGATGACTTGTGAGCACCTTAATCTATACCACTATTGGTTAAAAAAGAACGTCGGTTCAATAACAAAAACATACTGTGACCTCCTCTGTGGGTATGCATATATTTTTAGGATACTAACTGCTAGTATTTGGAACCTTGCAAGAAGAAAAGGCAGGCGCGCTTCTTTATATAAAATATTATTTGCGACAAATTCACAGAGCCCAAGGTATAGTCGTAGCTCTTCGCTTTCTAGAATAGCAGTGGTCGATGTTTGTAGGTAGGTGCTTCATGAAACAAAACACAGCGAACCTCTAATATCGAACCTCTAATACATACAATATACATACTCGAACCTCTAATACATAATATCGAACCTCTAATACATACATATCCCGACGTAAACTAGGTCATTTACTGCTGAGTCTATGAAGCATCCTAACCACCCGTGCTCCTTTAGCTGGCATATTTTCTATAGGCAGACTCTAATTTCGGTTTTCTGTGTAAGTGACTCCCAAGTACTTAATCGATTCCACCTGCGGGATAACATACTGTAAATAAAGTACGGATATTTGCACTAGAACACTTATCAGAAAAACTACGATTCTGCTTTTTCTGATGTTTAATGAGATAAATGTTGTCTAACCGCGTGTCCAGATCGTTCATATAGTAAAACTATAGACTCTGATATAGTGTATGTATATCTGCAGCTGTAGCAAAAAAATGTGATGACTTCAGCGTATACATACACCTGTACATGTTGCAGAGAAATCGTGCACAATAAAACATTAAATAATAATGGTGACCATACTGAACATTGAAGGAGACCTAGTTTGTTAATACTTTGAAGAAGACACGCCAGAGGGAGAGCGAAAAAAAGTTCTGTGTCTTTTAGAAAGGAGTAAACCCGTGCAACGAAGTAATTTGGTAAACAGTGCAAGCCAAATTTATCACCCGATACAGTGCACATGGTCACTTGTGTTTCTGCTCGCGTAAATTGAAAGAGCCTCCGGTTTGACCGATATGCGACCGGCCACATGACAACTAAATTTCATGAGCAACATTTGACAGGCACTTAGTGTACTGTCTTGTGGCTCTTTGTGCTTTCACCGTGCTCGTTCGTCTTTTTTCTTTAGTAAGCATCGGACACACTTTTTTGAGTTTGCATGTAAGATTATCGGTGCGACTGCTCGTTGAAATTTATAAATGCTAAACATTCAAGAAATCGGCACAGTTACGAATCTGCGCACCGCGTGTGTGCGTGTTCTAAAGGAAGAAATATTGCGGCGTACTAATTATGCCGCTTTTCCGCTTAGTATGCGCGAGATTCGGCGAAAGCATATTTCTTCGCTTATCTACCCACATAACAATTTAGGCTAAAAGTTTCCTCATTGAGCCAGCTTCGAGCAAGAAACAATAATTTCTATTCCCGACGAAAAATTCCTCGAACTTACTACTGGGACCAAAAAAAAAATCTAATTTAATTGTCTTTCTTTAGAGAAAATAAGGGTGGCTCTGAAATATACTAGAAGTTTGCTATTGTAATAAGATCTGATGAAAGCCCATTAAAGTGACAAACAGCCCACGCCAACGGTAAGCAAAACTTTTTTGAAGAAGCCATCATGACATTAGCACGTATACGGGGAAATAAAAAAGGAGAAAATTTTTCAAAGTACGCGAATAAACGTCCCCTCTTTACCCGATCTTCCTCATTAATTTCTTCTTTGCTTTGAAGCCCAGCCTGGCTTGCACAGACCCCCATGGGTCTTTTTTTTTCCCAGAGCTGTATTTCTCGTTTCTCCCACGAGCGACAATCGGACGTTCCTTTTTATTTCTTTTAATAAATTGGCTCACTACGGCTTCCATTCCCGTATGAAATATGAAGCTCAAAAGCAGTGCACCGCTATCGCATACATCACACGTGGTATGTGAAGTCATTTTCACACATAATGCACCTATTAAGTTATCATAAGCGTAATTGACACGCTTACCGACTCTTATTGACTTCTAATTAGACCGACTTCACGATTCGGTGCTTCATGCCTATTAAAAAAACTCAGTTTAGTTCTCACGCTTATCAGCCGAAATGAAACCACAATCTGTCTTTTTGAATAAGCAACTAGCTTAGAGAATACCCACGATAACAATAATTAATACTGTCAAGAGAACAGGGGCCTTTGCATATTATTTCTCACTGGTCCAAAAAGCAGCCGCTTCGTTCTTTCCGCTGCGATCGATTGTGCGTATCCAAATTATTTTAATTTATCTGTTTTACGTCTTTATCTAATGCTGTTTTCATGTGCTCTGTCTGAAGGCAAACAGCGAAGTTTGTTAGGGAGATAATCGCGCCACTAAAGAGTGCCAAATTATGCTAATCTAACGCATACGCAGAGATTCATTGTAGAACAGGCCAACTTCCTAAAGCTCTTCCTGAACTTTTCGCCCGTTTTTAATCGCCGATTAAAGAGGAAAGTACTTTTATCGCAGTTACGAGAATATTTTGCCATGCCCCACAGGTATTACTTCACCGAGAACTGCGCTACTGTGATCAATGATGATTTTCAATGCAAGCAAAACACGAGAACTTGTGGAAAGTTAAATGTTCTCCGATGCGATTCGCTCAAGTCGACGCGTTTTTGGTCCCTTGTCTGTGCACAGCGCTGCACTTTTCATCAAAAATGCTCACGTACTAAATCACCCGATTCGCCGCGTTATTCGTAAGCAGAACGATGTGCATCAAGAGTTGTTGGATAGTGAAAGTCCCCATGAAGTATACATATTTTCATTGACTTATTCGGCTAGATAGAGGTACATTAAGCACGATAGAAAGAAGGTAAACAACAGCGGGATGGTTAACTAGAGGTGGTTAACAAGAGGTACCAATCCACTGCCCTGCACAAAAGGGGCTACAATAAAAGTACATCACGGTATATTGAAGTAAAGCCCTTGCTGAGAACGCGGGAACTGGTAAACAGAAAAGCGCGAACTTTCAACTGAATTGTAGCTGTTTCAACATTTTTTTTAGATATGCAAGTTATAAAAATGATGGAAGGCCTCATCAAGCGTGAGGCCCATGGGACGGCTTTATGTTCTCCCATAGTATATCAAGTACTCAAGATCGTTAGCCACTTTTTCTAAACACGAAAATGGTTCTGATGCAAAGTCATACATAACCGTGTATAAATGTGTCTTTCGCCTTGGTATTAAATTGATTTGAAAAGTTTGCACTTTTTCCTGCTTTACCATTGCTCCACTCTTGAAGAGGCACTAAAGGCGACTATTAGGTCGACGTTGATTGTGGAGATAGTGGTCCGGAAACCTCGTAGTGTTACTTTTGTGCCAAAAGGGCCTATTTTAAAATAAAATCACGTTTTAGTGCTCCGCATTGTGTTAGCGAACTTCAACTTACCCGCCTCAAGAAGCGGATCGACCGGACCGACTCACGTCACTGTTGCCGTGCGCAACGTTGCCCGGCTTTACTAAGCTAGTAGCAGCAGACCGAAAGCAGCGGGAGCCACAGCAGCAACAGTGACCATTAATGAATTTCCCACCATTAGCTCTGAGATTGCAGACGTTTTTTGGTTCAACTGCGCCCCACTAGATGGCCTCACCTGTCCAGTGTAACTACGCAAACGTTGAATTTTTCGACCATTCGCGCCTTTCGCCATAGTAACGTCCGGCGGTTCTTTTTTCCTTACATCAAACAGAAACGAACAAGCAACATTTTATTGTGTCTCTTGATGTGGGGAAGGTTCTTTATTTAGTGCCGCTAGATCGATTACTAGTGATTAATCGTAGGCGGTCCGTGTGATGTTATTGGGATCCTATTGAGAATGTCGTACTGTGGCGCATGTGTTCTTGTGACCGACCGACCGACCGACCGACCGACCGACCGACTCAAAGTCGCATATGCTCACTAAGAAATGCTTCGCACTTAAAAACAACCAGTATACAGACTGGGTCAACACCGAGGAAACACAAGGCAGCGACCACTGCATACTCAATACCACCATTCGCACACATCCTTAGGCAACACCCTAAGGAGACGCAAAATTGCCTGATTGGATTAAGTTTCGTAAACTCTACACAGATTCTCTACCCCCCTTCAGAAGCAAGGGTACCATACTTGTCCCGAACAACTGCTTTCCACACTTTGCTCCACACAAAAACACTTTAAACTGTCAGAAGCGACTCCAGCAGTGGATACAACCTCCATCACCTGTGAATGGCCGTCACAGCCTCGTCTGCCGATGGCGCCGGCGAAAACACAATCGAAAACACGGAATTCACATTGCCGAGCTTACCCAGCGAGCGGCAGAATATGTGGCCAGCTCGCTGACTCTGACTTGGTGGACCGATGCAACACGGCTGCTCGACAAATGTCCAGCCATATTACCTGGCGATTTCTCCACGCCTTGATCGATCCCACCGAAACTCGAAAATAGACACAAAGCATCTTAGACGAGCGTTTCACAGCTTCGATGGAGACACGGCGAAATTGGCATGCACACTTAGATATCAATACCCATGCTCACAGCAGGACCTCCGAGAGCCCGCGTACTCGTATGCAGGTACCGAGAACGCGGAGCTGGATCAACTGGTCCAGCTACAAGACCTGAAGGCGGCTTAAACATAAATGAAGCGATGAATGGCACCGGAAAGGAATAGAGTCATCGTTAAAATACTTGTCAAACTTTCTGATTCTGCTTACACCATAGCCCTTGCATACATAAACTCCATTTAGATTGGGGAAAGACCTTAGCCAATTGACTGGAAGACCACCCTCGTCACGTTGATACCCAAAGTACACAACGCCATCAGCACGGACAAACTCCGCCACGTATCTCTTACGTCTTGTGCGAGAAAAAAAATGGAGACGATGGTACGAGATAGGTTGTCTGATTGTCTGGAAGCCAAAAATGTATTTTCACACATCATGATCGGGTTCCGCCCACACCGGTTCGTGCAAGATGCCCAGCTTCAGCTCGATCGTGAAATCCTCGATCAAGTCGAATATCCCCGAAATTAGGAAGTTGTGCTCGCTTTAGATCTGAAGGGCGTGTTCAATAATGCGAGCGACGACATTATCTTCACACGCCTTTCACAAGTGGATTGCGGTCAGCACACCTTACATTATATCATGAAGGCCCGTAGTACCTACACAGCACGAAGAAAGCCTTCCTCGGTGTAGATTCTTTACATGCGGTGTCCAATAAGTTTTTGTTCTGATAAGGCAATATTGTGGAGCTGGCATAGAAGTGTGTGCATTATCTGCCTCTCTGCACACACGTCTCATATTAAGGCCGAATGATACATCACAGCTATTCTTCTGTGTATGTCACGGTCTTGCTTCTTTTCTACAATGCACACCCAGCAACTTGGTGAACGCGAAACTCGGGAGACTCGTCAGTCGGGAAGGAAAGGGAGGCGGGGAAGGAACGGCACGAGAAAAAAAAAAAGAACTGGTGCATATTTTATTGTTTTTTGGAAGGAAGGAAGGAAAATAGGAGGAAAAGAACGGCAGGGTGGTTAACCAGCCTATAGGCAGCCGGTTTGCTACCCTGCGCATGGAAGGGGGATGGGGGAGATAAAAGAGCAGAGAGGGGGCTACAGCAATGTCATAGACTGGTCCGGATGATCGCCAGCAAAGTATTTAGGCATCAGCTAGACCACCTGTGTTTTATTTAAACAACACGCGTATGCGCGCGTAATTAAAGGTAATTTTGCATCGTGTCCTGAAACACAGTTGACAGCCTTTCATTGTATTGCGCTTTTTCGCACGACACCACTGTACTGCGGAAAAAGCTACTCATCTTTGTTTTGCATTCAGCTTTTTTTTTTTTGTTTCTCTTTACCTGTGAGGCTAGACTTCTTTTTTTTTTTTAGGGGGGATAAAGGAGACACTTCGTCATGCCTAAAAAATGGAATAACTTCTTCATTATAGGGAGTAATTCGAACAACTGGCGAATAGCTGGTTCTCTCTCAACATTAGGTAGTTTCAAACTGCTTGCTTTCACCACATGTTGTGAACTCGTCACTGGCAGCAGGGAACGCAGTCCTGCCCAGTGTACTGTTACGCATGACTTCAGGTAACAGCCTGGTAATTCGGTATTTACTAAAGAAATCCAGCACGATTGACTCTCGCAATGAGTCAGAAATAAATCATTCACAACATTCAACCATCACAGGAGTTCAACGACAGCATCTTGCACCGGTTGTTAATAATGCAACGACGAAGACAGTCGACACTCAATGCTGATGAAACTACGGCAAAAAAAAGGCTTTGATTTAATTGATATGCGAGGTTTAACGTCCCAAAACCACCATATGATTATGAGAGACGTCGTAGTGGAGGACGCCGGAAAGTTTTACCACCTGGGGTTCTTTTACGTGCACCCAAATGCAGCCACCGCAGCTGGGATTCGATCCCGCGACCTGTGGGTCAGCAGTAGAGTACCTTAGCCACTAGACCACCGCGGCAGGGTAAAAGAAATAAAGAAAGCTAGAAGATGGATGCCCGAAATCACTCACACTTGCATGATGGAGCAACGCCCGTCCAAAAACCGGACGTGGCGCACTTCCGGGATGCACTACCGACTAGCAGGCTCCCGGTGGGACACTCGTACGCCACTTCCTGTCCAACACGGAAGTCTCGTCCCGTTGTGGTGGAGTTTTCTTCCCGGTCGGGGCTTCCGCAGTTCGATGGGTCTGCGTGAATGCGCGTGCAAACAGAGATTATCTTTTGCGAATCAATGGTTCGCTCGGAATAACTTCGTCGATCAGCGCTTGACTAAGCACAAAAAGAACGGAATAGGCGAGCATAAGGTTCCGCTCTGCTGCCCAAATTTCGCTAATGATTGCGTTTGTGTGGGGAATAAATAGTTGTATTTATGAAGTACAAGCGAGTGTTCATTGTCTGTTGTAAGGAAAAGCAAGGAAGGCAAGATGAATTCTTGCGATGAGAAGTTCGTAAACGGGTGGCGAGTGCTGGAACTCACGTTTCGGCAAGTGGACATGTTGAAACACCGACAAGTCCTTTTTCAGCGCTGCGACCGTTGCAGCCTCGAGAAAGACAAGCCCGCATGTCGAAACGTCGGCTGCGGCACCCAGTCTCTGTTTACGACTTTCCCATCGGTGTCTGTTGTGTAATATCCCCGTGAAGAGCACTTCTGTAGAGCGTGGACGTTTCGGGAGTGTGAACCTTTGATACGTGCGAGCATTGCGGTTGCGGGAACTGTTATATTGTATCAATCGCGTTATGTATGTGACGGTGTTCATTCATGTGCTAATTGTGTAGTGTTTTATAGTTACTGAAAACTCCATGCTGAAAACTTGTACGTAGGAGTAGAGGAGTAGATGGAGCCACCCCAACCTCTTCTTAAACACCTTGGATAAAAACAAATCACTCAATCATTTTCTTGATGATTGACCTTATTTCAAATCAATGATTTTAGACCAGGAATTTGGAAACTATGCTGCCTCGCGCCAAGACCAAGGTTTCGCAAAAGCTTCCTTCAACTTTCTGATTAGAATTTATGGGCTTAATTTATTTCTTAGAAAGGGGCTAATTAATTTAGACTCTTTCAGCAATAAAGTACAACACCACAATATGGTGAACAACTCCGCGCAATAGTCAGCAACATGCACTTGGTCAGATTATTTTAGAATCCGTCAGCGTATATTTAAATTCTTACTGGGGCATATTGTGTACGATTACAACCAAAGCAAGTTAGCAGTGAGCTATATAACTAGTGATCAGTGAATGTTAATAATCGAAAGTACGCTGTACGATAACAGTCTGAGCAAATTAAGTAAGGAGTGAGTTGATCGGCAAACGTCGGACATTGATATGAAGTACACTGGAAAACATACTGACTTAAAGGTTTTCGTCCATGAACTGTCCTAACAAATGCATAGGCACCTTGTACTTTTAGCAATTTAATTGAAGAGTAGTATTTATGAGACAAAGAGAAATGAAAGTGAGCGCGGAAACATGGTGTCATTGGTGGAGAGAGAAACTACATTGAAAAGCACGTGAAATTCGAGGCTACACATTCGTGATCTGTATCAATGGGAAACACAATTTCGTACATACTCAAAAAAAATAATAAAGGCGGGATAAACAAGGTAAAAAAAGCGCGCACTTTCAACGCTCTTGCGTGTACAGCGAACATTATAAAAATGTAATATCACCGACTCGGCGCACCCACACTAAATACTTTTGCAATCTATAGACCATAGAAGTGTGGCAGCTTGGGCTGTTACGGACGTGTTACGGACCATGCTACGGACGTGTTGCAGTGGCGCCACAATGGTCTGTAGCCTTGCTTTTTTTTTTGTAACTTCAACGAGTAAACGAACAGCGCTGCGGTAGACGCATACGCACGAAAATGGTTGCGCTGCTGCACTAGACGTATTCAGGCCTTATTAATTCACGTATTGATATACCAGTATAAGAAAACATTTATTTAATAACCCAAGCCGGTGACACCCACGCATCTTAAGTGAAATCGCGTACACGACGTGGAGAATTCCTCGTAGGATCTAGCCCCAATAACGTAACTTCAAAAGCCCGTATACTAGTAGTTTCAGCCTTATATAAAATCACTCACTGTACTGACAGATCCACGGCAGGTAGTCCAAATCGCAGGTCACATCATTCCATCGCCACTTGCGGCCACCATCAATGACGACACAGTTCTGCTGACCGTTGTAGTTGTTGGGCTGGTCATCAGCCCAAAGGAATTCTCGCACCGGTTCACCTGGAAAATCCAATGTGGAATGAAGTAGAATAAAATTATATGACCAGCTGTAAATGAGTTCTCCGTAACCCTACATAACGGCAGAACATTCAAGAGAGACCTTTCTCAACGATATAATTTTATTTTATGACAGAATAAGCTCTCTCCATATAGCCTGCCTATAACACCATCTCCCAAGTTCTCGTTTTCAGAAACATCAATTCTCGGTTTCAGAAATTCACAAAAATCTGACCTTCCTATCTCGTCCATCCACCGAATTTTGAGCCTCTCCCTTCAAGCACGTTCGTTTTCTCGGAATCCAGTATGCTACTTTTAATGACCAGCGGCTGCCTTCGTTACGTGCTACCTGCCCATGTTTATTTTTTCGTCTTCATTTCCACTAAGGTGCCCTTGAAACCCGTTTGTTCCTTTGCCCAGTTTGCTGTCTTCTTGTGCTTGAACGAGCCGCTAAAAAACCCGAGGGCTAAAAATTTTTATAAAATGAAGTATGTGAACTTTTACTTTCTGAAGATCCTTCCGTTAGAATTTTGAGAATACGTGCTATATTAAAGTTACAGGGGTTCGAACAACAATTTCAGCTGTTTCCAAATTTCGCGCGGCCTCCGCCCTTCTCCCTTGCAGAAAGAGGAAGGCGTAGGCCATCGTCGTGACTGGTCTAGACCAATCGACGAGCTGCGTGCTACGTCAAGTCACCGATGGCCGTTTTTGCGTCAGTGCGCATGAGAGAAGGATTGGTAAGCAGTACAAAAAAAGTGCGGGAATTGTTTTTTGAAATGGATAGTCTGCGCGGCGCGTCGCGCTGTAATATGCGGCAAACGTGAACACTAAGGTCCACTCTAAAAATTAACGAGCTTCTTTGAGGGTGTAAAAAAAATGTGGGAGCCTGCTGACTGGCATTTTTATAGGGATAGGATAGGATTTGTGGGGTTTAAGGTCCCAAAACCACCATATGATTATGAGAGACGCCGTAGTGGAGGGCTCCAGAAATTTGGACCACCTGGTGTTCTTTAACGTGCACCCAAATCTGAGTACACGGGCCTACAACATTTCCGCCTCCATCGGAAATTTTTATAGGGAGCTGCAACACTTTTCTAAATAGCCATGCAATAGATATTTCCTCGCAAATTGACCCCCGCAAGCAGTTTTATAGTCCGTTTAGAACGGGCGCAGTCGCAAGTATTTGTGGTGCGGTTCTACTGTTTTCTTTCTCCTCTAGCCGCGACGAAAGCGATGGAAGCTAAGCAGGGAGGGATGCATTGGAGAAGAAGGTACGTCACGATCTCTTCATGACCTTCGGCACATTTTCTCCTTTTCTTCGAAAGAAAGACTTCTCAGTGCAATCGCGCGTGCACGCGTGGACAGGTCGCAGCCTACCGTGGCGGCCCCAGTCATCCCTGAGTGCACCATTCACAAATCGGCCAATGGAATGACACTTCGGCCTGCGACGCAGCAATTTTGGAGTATGTAGCATCCTTTATCGAGAGAATAGATACATTCTTTTCTTAATTTCTGACCGCGTGCTTCCCAATATTATTTCGCTTGCGTGTGCTTGATTGATATGTGAGGTTTAACGTCCCAAAACTACCATATGATTATGAGAGACGCCGTAGTGGAGGGCTCCGGGAATTTCGACCACCTGGGGTTCTTTAACGTGCAATCTGAGCACGCGGGCCTACAACATTTCCGCCTCCATCGGAAATGCAGCCGCCGCTGCCGGGATTCAATCTCGCGACCTGCGGGTCAGCAGCCGAGTACCTGTACCACTAGACCACCACGGTGCGGCGGCTTGCATGTTCTTGGGAGTGTCGACTGCCCATCGCCAGAATTTTCTAATCGTGTTAAAAAACTCTCGCAGGGCCCCTTTAAGGTTATACTGATCATTGTCCTTTCCACGGTTCACTGGGTCATCCTCAATTTAGAGTGAACTCTTTTTATAAACCTCCAGGCTTTTGTTTTGTATGTGAGTACTGGTAAGATGCAGCTGTTATGTACTCTCCTCCTGAGGGATTAGGGTGAATTTCTATTCATGATTTGAGAGTGCCTTCTGAATACGCTCCACCTCATTCTTATTCTTGTTACTTCAGCCTCATGGTTACCAAGCCAAGTTTGGTTAACAATCCTACTTTCCCCCCCCCCTCTCTTTCTCTCTCAGCCTCATGGTTTGGCTCTGCGGCTGCTACCCGTCCTAAGCAGATGTATTTTTTTTCCACTTCTAGTGCCTCGCTATCTTAGGTTTTGCGAGTGTTGGCAAGGCACTGGAAGGTGCCTTTGGAACCTTGTAAGCACCAACTTAAACAGAAGACCGAAATTGCTCACCGCTGACCCAGAACCAGCCTCTCTTGCCGGGTCCAATGCCTGTGCGTCGCTGTGCACCCATCCAGACCAGCTTGGATTTCAATTTTTCCCGACGTCGCTCTAGTTCAGCCGAGATGAAAGGAAGCGTCAGGTCGTCCACACTGTGGATCAACAGGCCACCGCGTGCCTAGAAGAAGACCGCATGATTTCAAATAATAATAATAATAATAATAATAATAATAATAATAATAATAACAATAACATCTGGGGTTTTACGTCCGAAAATCACGATGTCATCATGAGAGACGCCATAGTGAAGAACTCCGGAAATTTTGACTATCTGGTGTTTTTTGAAGGAGCACTGAAATTGCACTGCAAACGGGCGTCTACCATGTCGCCCCATTTCGCCTTTTCGAAGTGCGACTGCCTCGGCCGGGTTCGAATCAGCGACGTTCGGGCTAGCAGCTGAGTACCGTTGCCACTGACCCACCGTGGTGGACTACATAATTTCAAAGCATGCAAACAACCTTGTACAACATCATAGTACTGTTCCTAACTGTAATCAACAATGAATATTCAGGATACGCTTCAAAGAGGCGACGTAATCTTTTTCACTTGTCTGACTTAATTCTCTCACAACTTTGTCATTCTACGTGGCATAACTCGGGCATTCATCGTTTCTCTGTCGCACATTCATTTCTACAAGCCTCTGGTCGAAAATGTTTGCTATAAACTATGGCTGTTTGTTTTTTTTCTTCCATCCCTAATAAACCTGCGTATAATGTCCTGTTAAGCACAGTGTTATGAAGTATGACCTCATAATTTTTTGACAACTGGTGGTTTCACAAAAGACTGACAAAAAAATGAAATAGTTGGCCATGTCTTTCTTGCGCTGCCACTTCAGGACACGGAGCTTCAATATTGGCAGATTTTATTCGGTAGATACTCGCCTGGCAGTAAGAAGCAGCGTCCTGGAAGGAACCTCCGCGACTTCCCTGAAACTCGTAACATTTGCGGATAAAAGTGGTCAGCTCCAGGGGTTCCACCTGGTTTCCGCACCGATCTGGAGAGAACTCTGCGAAGTTGAGAAACCACGTTGAGCTCTGGAAAACTGTTGCGAAGCTCATTGCAACAAAAAAAAAGAAATGCGATGATTGCGATACTCCCTAGCACGAAATTTGAGGGCACCTTTACGCGTGCTTCCACTTCCCGACAACTTGAGGCAAAGAGCTTCAGCAACATAGCCGTGTGGCAAGTTTTCCGCTTGCAGTTATAGAAGACTATTTCTAACACACAAGTTTTTCAACACGAAAGTGTTTTATGCCGGTGTACACGACAGCTTCGCTGACATATTTTCGTCACGAAACTGACGATAAACATAAATTCTAAGAAATTGCAATTAAAAAATCTGAAGGTAAGCATCTGTCACGCGAAATCGAACCAGCCACCTCTCGATTATCAACACGCGGCGCTAACCACTATATGCCACAGATATCTGCTGTGCGGAATGCTAAAGGCGAGCCATTTATACACAACACACAACATTTGGCAGTCCTGAGAGCTTCAAAACTCTAGCGCGTTTTCGTTATTAGTAGCGAGATGGCGTGGAAGGCTCGCATTGGGCGCGCTCTACAAGTCGTCGTCTCCACGAAGCGTAGTTTTACCTGTGCATGCGCTTATCAGAATCATAGTTTGGGAGAGGAGGAAGGTCACTTCGCACGCTGCCATGGCCGCGTTCACAAAAGGAGCGCGCTGCTGATGCACGACACAGGAAGCATTGTGACAGTTATTCACGCTTCTCCTGTGTATACTTGCGCGCTTGTTTCGCGCGTCTTTCTTTCTGTTTGAACAGAGCGCTTTAAGTGTCGAGTTGGGGCAGTTGATAGTCCACGCTCATCCTGTGTATTTTAATTTTGTGCATGCTTTCTACTTGAGGTGTGTGCTACAAATTTCGAGCTGCTTGCCGTTGCTAAGGTTACTTCGCAATTTCTTGTTGTTGCTTAAACAATGCACAATAAACTCTCAACTACCTCTGTAAAGACATTTTTCACTTTGGTGTTATACGGATTCCTATATAGGGGGATCAGACTCGTTTAAAAAAACACACACCAATCTGCAAGTCCCCGATTGTCATGAAACGTGCCGGATATTTGTTATATTGTGGCATTACAGGAACAGCGCTACCTTCGTACGTAATTTTTCATTTTTGTATGCACTTTTTTTCGACCCCTCTAAGAAGACATAAGGAGTATCTAGCGCCTCATTTGCTCGCGCACGAACATTCACTTATACCATGCCAACAAACAACAAAGAAGGGAGCATTATTGCGTTACCAATGATTGTTTTCTAATTGTTGAATGTGCTTCATTTATTTTCAGCTATACAGCAGTGGCGTAGCCACAAGAACTTTTCTCGAGGAGGGTTGGTGGAGGTGTAAGCGCAACGCGAAGTTGCGGGTTGACTCATATAAGCAAGCTTGGAGGTAGTTGTGTGAGAGAACAGTACATTCTTTATCCACACGTTTTTGTGTTTTCAGTGTAAGGCTGCTATTAGCACACGTTAGTGCTCACATGCTTACAATTCTCTTTTTTTCACGCTGTAAGGTAAGGCTTCGCAAAACCAGTCAAGACCTGTCAAATTCCTTTTTTACGACAAGCTAAGACATCTATTACCTGCCTTACGCAACTCATTAATGCTGAAGAGTGCTAAAGCCTCTCATTGGCTTTACGTATTTATATTTTCACAGATCAGCCCATCTTGATGTCCTAAAAAGGTTGATTGCTGAGTGACACTCGGGATTTCTATGCACCACCATGCCGTGACTGTCAAGTTGTGTGGGCGCGCTTTGAAGCCTGCCGCATTTTCCGTAACTTGAGCAGATCTTCGCAAAAGAAATTGATAGCTCGAAATGGTAATGCTAAAAGAAAACGAGAATCAAATTCGTCGATTTGAAGGTGACTCAATTATCAATGAAAGAGAGCTAACGAGCTATCTAGAACGCTCTTAGACGGTTTACAGGCAACCGTGAATGACACATCCATTCCTAATTTTCTCCATGCAAACACCGACCAATGCCCCAACTTGCATCGCTCACAGATCCTCACTATATTCAGATACAACTTCAAAACCCCTCGGCATTTGCTCCTCAAAGGTGGACGCAAACATGCCTGCACCAATAAGCGTGCACCGCGGATTGACGTCATGAACAGGAATGCCGGTGACTCCGCCTTCATAGAACACTGTTGATTGCCTGAGTAGGACTATTTCTGCTGCCGCACTTCAGTCATCTGCGAAATGAGGCCGCGGGGGGGGGGGGGGGGAGGGTCTCTCTGGACTCTTAAGTTGCAACTGACTATAATCACGTTGCTCCCCTTTCATTACGCGATCTTCAGTTTCCTTTCATGATTTTGAACTGCACTGCTATTTCTAAAGTCACAAAAAGCATAGTGGTTTGAGATGCAGCTTGAAGCGCATGTAGTGGTCGATAGAGATTGTTTATCTAGTTAGGTTTAGATAGGGCAGGAAGTGAGGCTATGGTGTAGGAAAATATGCTATTTGTGAAAAAAAAACATTATTTCCGCACATGATAGAGAAAATAAGCACCACTTAACAAGGACTTAAGTAGAAGACAGATATGGACATCTTGTACAGTCACGTTCCCTTACTCCTTCACAAATGCAAAGCAAAGTTTCCCGCCAACACGTTTTAGCCACCTCAATCATATCTCCTTCAGCAAAACATAACTCATTGCACAACTGTGCATCAATAAGCTTGAGTGAGTCGCAAAGTGAGTCGTAAGGCCGCTGTGATTCCGCGACGTTTGATTCATGCAGTGAGAATATCGTCTTCCTCACACGAATTATAAGAGACAGCGTGCTGACACTAGCGTGTGTGTGTTTGTACGTGCATGTGTCGGAAAATTGAAGAAAAATATAGCACAAGAAGGCAATCAAACCCAAGCATTCTGCGTGGCAATCAAGTATTCTGCCACAAAGCCACGTCAGGCTTCTGAACTGTTGCGAAAAAGACCCTATTTAAGCGTAATGTTGCTGTGCTGGCTATCTAATCTTATTATTATTGTATAAAAGGTAGTCATATTTTACTGGTGTCACGTCGCGTTAACGTAAATTGTACTTAAGCTCCCTCCACTAAATTTGACCTACGTTTCCTAGGCTATGCCATCCTCGCAAGCACAAGCACGACACATCATCAGTTTACCACATCTTCATGGTGTTGGCAGTATTCATGTTGCTGTAGGCATCACTGCGCTAATGTACACAGCTGACTATATTAAGCATATGCGGCTGTTCAACAATTGTCTGTCGTAACAACATTTGTACTTACCTTTAGCGTAATTTCTTCACGTTTCTTTTCAGAAAAAAATTTTAAGCGCAGTCAATTTCTATCCACGTGCCTCGCACAACAACGATTCCTAATTTCTGCTTTAATTACATTCTATTTGCTCGTGGTTCTCTTTCCTTCTTTTGCTCGAACGGAATTAATTCGCGGTGTTTAAGAACTCCCTGAAATACACAAGATTTCAGCTGCAGTGCTAGTGACCTGAATTCTCGCAGCATGTTCCGTTTCATCGGAGCGGCGACATCTAGCTGACGTCAGACTGAGCCGCGGTCAAGCGTTTCTGACCATTCCCGTAAGCACTACACGCGCGGACAATGAAAAGAACGAATACGCGCGAATGGCTATAGTCAAGAACACGGACACCCCGCGGTGCTAAGCTACTCGAGCACTTTCAACCCAAAGTGCGGGCTTGTGTACTTTTAAAGGGGAACCGTGTACTGCTTCCCAGCTATCTGCATCAATTGTCATTTTCATCTGAGACAGCCATTCTGTTTCTCCTTCCCCGGAGTTCCACTTTTCAGTTCAGTTTCCCCTAGAAACCTGGGGGCTCTTTACGTCATGGTGAGCCCTGAAAGGCCGCTGAAGTTCTTGTGCGGACTTTCACGTTTCTTGTGGCTACGCGGACGCTCTTGGGTTCTTTGTTTGTTTGTTTTCTTTTGTGAGCTGCTTCTTCTGCGCGTATCTCATTTCGTTTTTTTAATAATTGAAATTTAAATCTGCTTGCGTGCGTGTGCAGTCATGAAAATATCAGCGAACAAACATATGTGTGCAAAACAAAGAAGTCAGAATACCGGATTTTAACCTTATTGTTTTGAAAAAAGCGAAGCAATGACCTAAGCTTCGAACAATTTAAGAGCAATTTAGCAGCCGAAACTAAAAGGATAGAATGCTGGGCTCTCTGTTAAGGTTTAACTTGAAACACCGAAATAGCGCAAATCACGGATCAGGTGAAACAAACAGAACGAGCTATATTATAGCTTTTTGTGGACTGTTTACCCGTGCAGGCCGTATAACACCAAATAAATTCCGTCTTGTTTATTGCACACAATTTTTTTTAGCAGCAGTTTCTCTTTTAGTTCCCCGATCGTTTTCGAACAACATGCCGAGATTCCGAGTATTCATAACCGATACTAAAGCAGTTACCCGACTTGTCTACGAAGCTTTATGTGGTGGCCCTTATGAATTATTTCCTTCGAGAGACATAACGTTTGAAGGCGTGTGTTTCAAGAAACTAAAGTAACAGCTTCAGTTGTGCTCGTTTTCAATCTGAGTGTAGTCGGTTACGACCAAGGAGGTTTAAAAAAGACTTTTTTTACCTCCATTTCATGTTCACGAGCCCGGTCCTCATACAACAACTCAAGGCTGCCCAGAAGGCCCACAATGCGGCGGTGAGGATAAGCCTCTCCGTTCCTACGTGGTAGTGGCCTGCGATCCCACCCTTATAAAATAGAGGTGGAATCCTTCAGGAGCCCAATAAAGTTTTTCATCCATCCATCCATGCTTGATACCGTACCCAACACTGCAGCACGCCTGTCATTCATCTGTGCAGCTGAGCAATCATTGTGAATTTTTTTGCTAATCATAAGCACATTTTTGCTCGTAATGCAAATACTAGGCATATTATACATTAAAATTTCGTCGTTTCGTGTTAAAAAAAAAACGCTACGTTTCGCAGAGAAGTCAAGTCGGAACTCTTGATGAAATTTGCCAAGAACTAAATATTTTTGACCAAAAGCTAGCGAAATGAATCCAAGCCTGTACGAGCAAGTGATATGCGTGAAATCCGTTAAATATGCCTGACGTCACCTAGATAATCGATTGCAATTCAGTAACACAATTATGCGAATCCCAGCTGGGTGCGACGGTGACCGCTCTGGGTGGGGCTTTCTTTTATTTTTAGGCTGACTGCTGTTGAAATGTGATACGTCGTTTGTGGGCACGCGTGGAAAAAACGACAAACTATCCTTGCTTTTCAAATGGCATCCGAAAATACGGTAGCCATATCGGAATTTTGGGCTCTGAAAAATCAAACGATGAACAGTATGCAATGAAGCCGGACCACCTGAAATTCACTAAACTTTTTTTAATATCAGACAACTCAATTACCCGACGATCTGCTTTGTAGTCAGTTATCTAAATCAATTCTAGAGTAATCTAAATCAAGTCAGTTGAGATGCAATGTGAGCGTAGTGCATTTTTAAAGAGCAGCTTTAAGTGAAATAATCCATATAATTATATCCGTCCTGCCCGGCTCTGGCGCATCTTCAGGCCTTTCGCTAAGCTCAAATAGCAGTGACACGAAATTGAAATAACACTCGTGCTTCGTTGAATTGCGATGTGCTGCTGATAAACTTTCGTCACTCTGACTTCACTTTATAACGAAGTGGAGCTGATTATCACTTAGCAATGTTTATGTTGGCGCACAAGCTCCAAAAAAGGCCGTTAAACGTGCTTGCGTTGCAGCTCCGTACTTTTAGCTGCCATGACACAGTGCGTTACGGTTCGCAGTTTGCTTGCAGCTCTGCTGTCTTTATCTCCTCTACAGACACCAAAGAGGAAATCGCTCCCAAAATATTTCCAAAACCATAGGTTTTACAGTGCAAGCGAAAGCGCGAATAGACTTTTTAAAGCGTGAATTATAGTCCATAACACGGCTAGCCATTCGTTCCAGGCACCTTCCGTTTTGTGATAGAACCTGTCGCTCACTCTACATTTCCCCAACATTTCCCGTCTTCTTTGAGAGATAGAGGGAGATGGAAAAAATAAAGCAGAATGATGAATTTGTTATTAAAATCGGTTTGCCACCCAGCGCAGGGGAGCGGAAAGTACGATCGTAGAAAAGACACCGAGAGCTACAGAAGACGACAAACAGAAAAAAAGCACACACGCATACACAAGAAGCGTGACCTAGTCAGACTCGTTCACATACAGCGGGGAATTAAAAAAATACAGTTGTGCTTATACAGACGTCGGCGACATTCAGTCCTCTTCATGGCCTGATGTTTCCTCAAACAGAGGTCGATCGTTCTATTGGTTGAACGTGTTGCAGAGCGCTTGCCTCTGTTTACCGTACGGTGGGTAAAAATGGGAAACACAAATGGTACAGCGGTTGAAAATGGCAAAAACAAAACACAAGGAAGGAAACGCACAGAGCACATTTCTAGCTATGTACCAACTAGCCACAGCGTCCGTTTTAGCTAAAGTCGCGCCGAATATGTCGAATTGCTGCTTCATCCATGCAGTGATCACATGCCGTGGGGATGACTGTTCCTACGCGGAACGCACGTACGCATGTAAGTGTGGCGCGAAGCCACATTCAGTGTAAATGGCTATAGTCTTTTCGGTGGAACTTGTGGCCTTTATCAAGCCATGCTGTTCTCTATTTCTACACTTGGCTACGTATGTCCAAGTTAGTGAGGCAAGCAATAAAGGTAACGATATTCACGACCAATTAAAAGTGCGACAGCTACAAACAAGAGATGCGACGCCTGAAGAATCATTGAAGCTGGTGGCGTCGTTTTCTCCTTCCCATCCTCCTCACCCTCACTTGTCGTCCCTATTCTTTTCTATACTATACTATACTATACTATACTATACTATACTATACTATACTATACATAGCTATGCTATGCTTCACTCTTTCACCAATTGCTTTCCGTCCTCCTCACACTCACCTCTCTTTTTCCCATATTCTTATGCTATACTATACGTGGCTGTGCTAACCCTCCTCCTCTATCTTCTACTCACCCTCACTTCTCTTTTCCACATCATCTTTATACCGAACTATGCGTGGATAATGTATGCTTTCCCTCTATAATTATTTGTTTGTACCTACCTCTTTCTGTCTTCCTTGCCTTTCTTTTTCTCCCTCTATTTTTTCTAAGCCGCGCTTTATTCTCTAGCCTTTTTCGTTTCCCACCTCCTCATTCTTAATTTCCTTTCCCATTCCTTTACTGTACCATACAACACAATGCTATGCTATGCTATTGCTAGCGTGCCTGAATAGCGGAGTGGTTACGACGCTCCTCTTCGCCTCGTGTCTTTGAATCTCGCCTTGCCAAAAATTTTAACTTTATTTTCTCTCTCTATAGTTGTCTTTTTTTTCTTTTTTATTTCTCTCTGTGCACACGTTATCCCACACATCGCGATTATTGTGTCTCACGCCGAAAAAAAAAAAAAAATGGCGCGCGTGTTCTGAGAATGAATCAGAAAACGAAGAAGACGGTAAAAAGATAGCGCACCGGAACATGAGGATAATAATTCTTCTTGCCACTATCCAGTGCAACCGAAAGATCAGACAGTATGGCTGTTCAAAATCTGTTAGTGCGAGTCACGCCGACTGAACGACAGTTCGCTTGGCAAACGCCAGAGTGGTGGGGGTTTTCGTTGACATTTTTCCATTGTCCTGATCATAAAAAAATGAATTTCCAAGAAAACGGAAATTAAAATAACCCGAAAACTATGAATGCTACTTGTCAAATGTAGGTGGCTCTTTACTAATTTAACTTCGGCAGCGTGTCTATATTCAACCCGATTCCTTGTTTCAAGAAAAACAAAGAAAACGGTATCAGGTGCGTGACATTTCGCAATGGGCGCTTTCAGCGTACCAGCGAGTCTATGTGAAGAAGTTCAAGAGAGTATGCCTAAAATGACGCAACATAATATTGCAGGCAATACGAAGGCCGATCGCAAGAAGCCTTGTCAGAAGGGCTTTCTTCCAACTGCACTGAAATACTGCGAGCAACAAGTTGAATAATTTTTTTGAAAAATAACTTCGTAACTGTAGTGCATCTACTGAAACTGTGTACAAATGGCCTCCTGATAATAAAAAAAGTATAATTGTTGGGCAGTATATGATCAGAGGAGCAAATTACCTCAATCTGACGTTCACGATTTTAGAGGGATCTGGACGGGTGGTGAAAAGAGACATATACAGGATAAATTGGATGTGATTTTTTTATATTCAACGACGTCAGAGTCATAAAATGCTATGCAGTATCGCCATTTCCAATAACAATTACTAAACGAATGAAAAATGAAGAGTTTTAAGGACTCGTTTTGCTTTGTTAGGTACAACATTTTAGGATGAGAACTGACAAGTCGAGGACAGCATTGGGCCCACTGCCGTTGCTGAACAGGTGAGCCATCAGACGCCCTATTAAAGGTAGCAGGTTTGATCGCTGCCGGTGACAAGTTATATTTTTTCACTCTTTAATTTCTTCTAATTTATATTGTGATTGCTACAAATAATATCCCCCGTACTCTCATTGGCTCTATTGTCTGTTATTTCTCACTGAGGTTGTGTCCAAAAATTAGCTAATATAAGAGAAGTCGGCCAACAGAGTGAGGCGCACTCAAGAAAGTGACCAAACGTGCGAATATGACAATGCGAAAACTAACCTTGCGTCGTGAAAACCATGACTTCACAGAGGGACAGTGATCCTTCGCCCCCAACCATGTGAATGTAAACGTAGCGGCCCAGGATTGGGTAGGCGCACTCGAAGTCCTTGGTCGATCCATCCTCTGCAATGAGGCGAGGTGGAAATGTTGCACCGGTTGTAGATGATTGATTTCAAGGCTAAGAAATGTTCGAGATTTCGAGATTGTTACCTCTGGTATATCTTGAACGTTAGGTCTGCTTTTTCTTAGTCAAGTATACTACAATCATTTTGCAGTCATGCTGTGGACAGTGAACAGACTGCCATAGCAAAGTGGAACGCGGTATCGACTGCACTATATACTGAAGACTTCTGCGCACCTATTCACAGACATCGTAAATATGGCTTCAGATAAAAGTTCAATACGAAATAGGAAAGTTTGTTTTATTCTAACGACGCAGATCGTTGCGCCCTTAGACAGCAAACCAAACAATTTAAAAGAAATGGCACGAAGTATATAACTTGTTGACAATAATGATTAAATATGCATGAAACAACGTTTCAGATCATCATTTCTACTAAATACACAGTGCCTATTTCATGAACTGGCTTTCTTATGATCTCATGGACTGGCGGTCTTATTCAAAAGCGTTGAAAGCTTTGGCTTCAGATGGAACAATCAAGCATTATGCACTTAACTTTGGGAACATGCCAGGGTGGTAAAAAAAAAAGAACTGTATACGAGAACAAGTTCCCGAGCTGCTCGCGCTTCTGCATGCCCAATTCAAAGCTTAGAATTTTTCTGTTTTTTTTTCTGGCTTGTTACAAAGCACATTAGTTTGATACGTTTGTATAGATAGTTTGAATGAATAGCAGAGACCGTTTAAAGACATTAGATGATTTACTTATTCTACCTAGTAGAAATGCACGTCATCCTGTTTTAGGCCCTAGTGAAAACTTCCAATTCAGGGTGGTGCCCTGCTCTCAAAGACAAGTTAAGTATACAGCTTAAAGTTTGACTAAAAATAAAAACAATTCTTTTTTTCGCATTTTTACATTACTCTTGTACAATTGAAAAATCATCGCGCTTGCCACGAGAAGCAGCGAGATAAGCGAGAAAACGCGCAAAAAGAAAACGCACTTTATATTTCCCGCATCAAACTTCGCGACGTCAAAAATTTTGACGAATCATCTGCGTCCTACGCAGATGATTCTTATAATCAGTACAACTAAAACTTTTTTGTCAACCAAAGTGGCCATAAACTTAGCATGGTAGGTTTCAGAAAATTTGGTTGAGTCAATGTCGCCAAAATAAAAAAAATGCACTTTGAAAATCATCACGACACATGCGGTGATATCAAACGAACTTCACAAATGAAACTTTGCGCTTAATTTTTGTATAATAATAAACATATGGTTATGAATAATGGCATTAGAGTTTCAAGGATACAATTTACTAATGCAAAGCGATTTAATGTCTCACGTTAGTGTCCTTTAAAAGGCGTGCGCACAAGAAAGAAAGAAAGAAAGAAAGAAAGAAAGAAAGAAAGAAAGAAAGAAAGAAAGAAAGAAAGAAAGAAAGAAAGAAAGAAAGAAAGAAAGAAAGAAAGAAAGAAAGAAAGAAAGAAAGAAAGAAAGAAAGAAAGAAAGAAAAAAGGAATCCAGCTCACGTGCCACTCACCCAATGTTCCTGGATACCAAGCGCAAAGGCGGCTCCCTTGCAAGCTCGACTGGTTACTCACTCGAATCTCCAAGTCATGCAGCGGCTGGTGGCCTGAAAACATCACGTGAATAGGACTGTTTAAATGCGCTGTCGTATCACTCGAAACATACCTACACTTGCTTTCTTAAACCTTTGAACAATAATTTTCTTCTTGTTGCTCTTCTTTGTATTTCCGCACCACATAAGATACAGCACATATTACATAAGATACAGCACATGCGTAAGATACGAAGGAAAATAATTTTTGAAGGTTCATTTGCTTGACACATCCCTAATAAATACCACCAAATAATGAGCCCAAGGAAGGTAACGAGAACGTTAATTGTACTGATTTCAGTGTATAGTAGTGATTGTATGTTGTGCGAAGAAAGTAAAGCGGACGGAAAGCCACCTTGTGGTCAGCAGGGACCGAGCCACCTGCTGAAGCAATTAGGCATAGAATGAGCGTTCTACACTCACCGTCACGGCTACGATTGACACCGATTAACACTCCGTTTAATGCACAGGTGTACCCGATATAGAGTGGACCGGAGGATGACCGGTGACGTGGCTTAATTGGTAAAGCATCGGACGCCTTTGTCTAGGGTTGCAGGTTCGGCCTCTGCGTTCGGCATGCTATCTTTCCGTCTTTCTCCGTCTGCTTCCATTTCTTCACTTATTTATTAATTACTGATAATAAGATGCCCTTTACTTCAGTTGGCTCAATTTCCTGCTACTTCTCATCAATGTCACGTCTAAAAATTATGTGGAGATATACGACGTCAAAATTTTACAATAGACACTTTCAATGTGCGAGTGGCACACCCTTCACTATTCCACGCTCGAGAAAGGTGTCCCTATTCTTGAATTGGTAATTTCATTTTCATAGTATCTTGAAATAGAGAATATTTACAAAATCTAGGCTCCTGGACTAAAAATAAAGCTATATTTCATCAAACATGCGGTGTTTGAATGCACTCTGCACTAGACAAATGCTTTCCAGTCAGAGCGTTAAAAGAAAGAAATGGGTAGTTCCGGCGTTTCATGAATTGTAAGAACGTTTCTCACCGCAGTCCATTGTACACCCACGACCGCTGAGGTGTAAAAGTGTACATCATTCCTACAGAAAAAAAAGAGTGGTTTGACTCCTTTTTGCGAGTCCTTTTTTTTTCAATCTTTTCTGCGATGACTTGCCCCACATAAGAGTCCACAAAGAGACGTCAACTATTTTAGGAGATTTACTCTCTCGTCAGAGAGTCATGGCACCCAAAAGAGACTTCGCGTGTATCTATTGAGAGAGTCCTATACATGGCAGGTCAGGCCTCGCTGCACATGAAACGTAACAAAAAATGCTTGAACGTGCTTTGCATTCGCGGGACAGACCTCTGTTGGAGGTCAGCGCCTGTGTTGTGCAAATCTCTTTTTGCACATTTCTTCCCATTTCCCTCTCTACCTCAGACAGGGTAATAAACAGGATATTTGAACACTGGTTCACCTTTTTACCATAGCCCCGTGTTTAGAAGCGAACCCTCTTAGTCATGCACTCCGCTGTCACCGTCATCCCCGCCGCAGTTGAAACTCCCTGCGCCCGGAAAGCGCACCGAGCAAAACAGCAGGTTCGTGCTTCCAGTGCAGCAGAAGCACCGGCATGGAGGCAGAAGGCACGCGCTGCGCCGCGCACGCTGCACGCTGCACTCACACTCGTGAAGTTGTACCCGCAATCCGCTTCCCACCCTACCGCCTTCATGAAAGCTAGCAGTGAGATGAAGTTTTTTTTTAAGTTCGACCTTTATTTTTGCTTCCATTACAGAAACAATAAGAGAGCAAACGGCTGCGAAGGCCTGACAGGCCTTCGCAGCCGTTTCGTAGATGAGGCGAATAGTCGCTTGCACCCAATTTATAAGAACGTTTGCTCATCGCTCCTGTTTGTACGCGGAAGAACTGCTAGTTTTATTGCAATATCAATTATATGGACAGTGTCAGCTGGTTTTTTGCCAACGTCGCATCCAACGCCGTCATTCACGCATATATATACGTATCTATGTAGATGAAAACTCAATAAAGAAAAAAGGCACCCGCGCTCCGCACCCATCTCATCGTGATGCGCCGACGTGCGCTTATCTCCCACGCGTACTTTGACCCGCACATGGGGAAGGGGAGGGGTTTCAGATGCTTGTGCACGCACGGCATGCGTGCTTATGTTTCGGAGGGGAGAATCGTGTGCCTTCGGCTTTCAGCAGAATGATTGCGGTAGTTGCCAGTCCCACGAAGGTCACTTTACTCGCTGCACAGGCCCCGTTTCCGAAAAGAGCGAACTTTTCATACACAATGAAGTAGCGGCGGGAACATTTGTTAGTTTGCACTCGTTTGTACCTGTTATTACGTTTAAATCGTCGTTTTGTTTTAAACAGCGCGTCAAGTGTCGAGTGGTAAACGTTCTTAGTTCGTTCTCGTTCCCTGTTTGTGTTGTTTTCATGGGTAATTTGTGCGTGAGCAGCGCACTGCAAGTTTCGATCTGCTTGCAGTTTTTAGCATTACATTCCAAGCTGTTGCTAACGCATTCATTGCCACGCTCTCGCGACGAAACTGTGACTTTTCCATGTCTTTCTTTCTCTCACTGTCTCGGTATACAGTTTGCTGAACGGCTTGAGCAAAAAAAATTGTAGCAAATGAAGACATAAGGAAGCCAATTGACCCTCTTCCGTTTGCTCAAAGTGACAAAAAAAATCTACTATGCCTATTTCTGAAATAGTGCATCTATGTGCTTTCATTTTTCGATGAATCCACCTCCTCACTGCCAAGTGCCACCTTCTTGGGAAGCTGAATTGTTAGAGCGACTGCCCCGGGAAGCCGTTGGTGTATGTTCGTTCCCCGGACCAGAACAAAGTTTTCGGCAACTAAGTTTTGGTGAAATTCGAATAGATTTCATCATAGCTTCTTGCTGCAAATGCTTTGTCAGTTTCTCTTTCAACCCCTGCTGCCATCTTGCAGTATTTCGCAGAGACTGACTTACAACAAGATGGACACATGGTGACAGTACTGTTGCAGTCGTTACTATGATAGCAATGATAATTAAGACAGTGAAGAAAGAAGTACATTTTCGGCGAGCATGCACACTACAGACCATTTCTTCTTGACCTGTAGGCAGTTTACTACAGCTCGCTGATCTAAGTTAAAAAGTCCTTCGGGTGTTATTGGAATGGCTTTATTCATGTCCGTGAATCTGTCTTTTGAAGCCTCTATTCTGACTTCGCCAGTGCGAAGGTTTGCGTGGCTATGCGGAATTACATGAGTGAAATCAATAGACTGACAAACTAATCTATATTATCCTTTAGTGTCGACACATGCATACTTCTTATTTTATTTATTTCTTTATTTTTTTCAGAAAAGTAGGGTGTTGATTTAATTTATTATCTATTACTAATAAAAAGCTTTATATTTCCTAAATTTGAGTAAGCATCATACTTTCATTCAAAATCGTAATGTCTTTATTCTATAACCTGTATTTCTCTAAAATTCCATAAGATTTTATAATAGTACTCATTTCTTCGCCTATCGCCCACAGTGGACATGAGCCACAAGAGAAGGTCAACAAGAGCACGCACAAGGCAGTGAAGGATAAATTAAGCCTGCGGGTGAAAGCACGGAAAAACGTACCGCAACATCCCCTAGTGAGAACTCGGACCACCCGGACCTGGTACGGCCTGAGTAGGTCCACCTGCCACCAGGGCGCGTTCTCTAGCTTCGTCTCGGTGCAGAAGCGATTTTCGTGCAGCGTCGTCAGGTCTCCGTCGTTGGCGTTCTTCGAGTCGCCGCCCCTCACGGTGCTGGACTGGTTTGTGGGTTTGCCGTACGCCACGTTCACCGCTGAAACACGTACAAACCAGTTGAAAACGGTGACAGAACGAGACGAAACATAATTAGGACGTCATCTTGTTTGTTGTTGTTCTGTAATTTGCCGTGAGGCCCTTTTTCGAATGTGTAGTGCCAGCAAATTGCTGTACTGCTACAACAAATCTGGCGCATTACTTATTCGGCGCCTGTTGTGACAACGCATCTTCCTGCGGCGCTACAAACGGAAATCGTTGTCTCTGCATCAGGAATCTGTTGTAACCACATATGCTTTAACAACAGCAAATGCTGCTGTTCCGGTGGAACGTTCTGATAGCATTTTCAATCGGAAATGTAAACATTTTGATAGAGATTATGGTTGGCTGAGTTAAATAATTCTAGAAACGTGTATACGGCTGCAGCCCCACTTTTAACAACATAGTTGTTAAACTAGGTGGGTATGCGCCACAGAATACAGGTATGAGTCAAGCATCTCCTAGAACAGCATATCCATTCATAGTAAAAAATAGCAAGGGTGTAGAAAAGGCAAGATAGGGTGAGGACGCAGGATATAACGAGGGTAGAGGGGAGAACATGGCTAGTTTCTGCTGCGCTGACGGTGGTAGTGTGCCATGCAGCTCCTAGCATTCGCAGTACAGTGCAGCGAAGGAGTGGTAAAAGAATGGAAAAGCAAAGTACAAGAAAGGGTCCTTTGTGTCCCGCCCCTAGTCCCCTAATAGGAGGGAGGGGGCGCAAAGGCAGCCCCATACATTGACGCAACAGGGAGGGAGAACGCTGTGACCAACCTTCGCTTCTGCCATTGTAAAAGCAACAACATCGACACAAGGCCTAGTGAAAAGCATGCATGGATTACTAAAAAATACTTATATTTAAGGCCAAAATATCATCATACGTGATGATAATGTTGGGAGGCGATGCTTTCCTTTCTCATGGGTGACCATCGCACCTTAATGACAATGAGGTTGTAAGTTCAGCACCATCACTGTCGTGTTTGCTTCGTCACGTGTGGCTTGCGCCAATTTTTTTCTTTTTTAGTAATACGAAAGAGCAAGATTTTGTCTTCTTCAGCGTTCCACGTTAACAAAACTTCAAGCGTACAATTGAAGTCCTTTAAAATTATCTTGTTTTTCACGCTTAATTACCGACTGAAATCACTAAGCGGACCACTTCGCTGCAACAAACAAAACGCCGCCTTCTACTGCGAGCTTTAAGCTAATTTTTTTATCACAGTGTATGATGCTGCTTTCCCGATTTTCCTTCCTGCTGTGATAGTTTGTGGATAAAATTTAAGTTCAATTTTGAACCTACCTACGCATGCTTCCAAATTTCAGTTGCTGTGGGGCGGCGCACCCCAGTAATTTCAGTTCATCGATGCAAATGTGGGTGCAAAATGAATAAATAAATAAACGAAAGATAAATAACTAAACAAATAAATACCGTTTCGGTTAACCTAGTGCAACAAATGAAACAGCTACCAAGCAATTATTCTTGATACAGTTGGCAGCGTTGAAAAACAAATCATTAAATTTCAAATGTTTCTTTGCTTCATAAGTACCTTGCTACACCAAACATTAGCATAAACGGGTGTGCTGTACAGATTTTTATGAACTCACTTCATACCACCGCTGTTGGCACCCATATACGTTGGAGCTTCAGTCGATGAATGGAACATAAGTATAGAAGTTGTATATTGCATTTTTTCCACAAAGCAGTCCTAAATGCACGCCGTTAAAAGTATGATCACAACAGTTGTTACAAAAAGCTTTTTATTTCTGTTGTAGAAAGTGGTGAAGTTAATTGCTAATGTATTTTTTCATTTCTTTTTTTTTTCAGCGTTCTACTTTCAACGTCATTCACGAGGCCTTTAGCGTAGGGACGTTTTTATGCATTTCATTTCCCCAAATTTTATTCCGCGGCACTAAATAAGCATTTTGTCACATCACTCCGCGTGAAGTTGTTCCAAGAGATAACTGTACATATAGCAGCCAGCTTACCGCAGTATGGAAGGCCACCGACCCATCGTCCTTTGTCTGAGCACGACCTGGTAGCTGAGCTGTAAGACAAACAGAACATAGACTGAGCAATGTTTGCGAAAACGTAGCAGCAAGAAAGAGGAGCTGGGGTCAGACTAATTGTCGGGGTCCCTCACTAAATTTGTCAGGCACATCGACTGAGCCTATAGTTTTTCATTGTTCGTTTAGCTTGCCTCCAACCATGAAGTAAATGACTGTTTATATTTCGCCATCGGCTGCGTAGTGCTTCCATCGACCACTAAATTAAAGTTTCACGCCGGAAGTGGTGCCACTGTCCTACGGTTGCTATGTTTGCGTATGTCTGTGTCCCACTGCGTATATGCGCTTCTTTTACCTTTATATCCCGTCTCGGCTCGCTGCTCCATGCTCAGTGTGTGCCAGCTGGCACGCCAACAATCATCAGTGTCGCTACCCTTGTCTCTGACCATACTCCATATGCTCGAGTTCAAGTTTGGTGCCACTAGTGCCTCATCAATGAAACATCTCTTAAATCACTGCATTCTTCTCACCTTGGTTCTACGTTACTAGAGCTGAAACACTCTTTCATACACGCTTCACCCATTCCCTGCTTTTGCCATCTGCAATGGTCTTACAAGCCCGCAGACGATGATGATCGTGGTAACTTTGTATGCTTGCTGCGGCTGCGGTCACTGCAAGCACAGTACTGGGTTGATTGGAGAGACATGGAAAGACACATCATCATGATCATCGTCATGATTATAATCATTACCAGGATAAAGGGGGGGGGTGCAAACAAAAGAGCTCTTATTGACTAGTAATAGGGCACCATGTTGGCTCAGTGGCGGCGGTCACATGTTCGATTCCAATCTTGGCGTTCGCATCTCGCTTGTAGCAAGACGGTAAAGGCCCATGTTCTGTGCAATTTTAGGGCACGTAAAGCAATGCCAGGTGGTCGAAAGTACTTAAAGAGGTTCACTGTGGCGCATCTAATGGTTTCTACTGCTTTGAAACATTAAGCGTCAGAACCAAAGGGGAAAAAATGTGACAAAGAACCGAATAAACGGTGGTTAACCCATCAATAAAAAAATGTGCTAACAAAGTGGGCGATGCGCAGAAAACAATTGTTAGTTGAAAAGCTACGCTGACTATATTGTAATAATGACATAAATTGTGGCTAGTTATTACGAGCCATCAAGAAGCATTAAAACAAACCTTATTAGGTGACAGTAAAATGTCGCGACACTTTGCAGGGTTATTATTGCAAGTAACACTAGGGAGACGGGCTGTTTTATAGAATTTATGCACAAAGCAGTAAAACCTGTTTATAATGAAACATTTTTCGCGGCAATAGCTTCACGTTTTATGGCGTAAATGCGAAGTAATTGGAGGGGACGAAAGAACAACTTTCCATCGCTATAGAGACAGACAACATTCGAACCATTGAACTTCTTATCCCAAAGTCAAAGCTTCAGTTCCAAGCGACAACAAATTCTTTTTCGTCAACTCAATGACATCAATGTGATAATTATTAAAATGCAATTATCTTAAATTTATGTAATTTCTGTGATAATTTCGGAACTAGTCAAATACTATACATAATCTCCCACTATACCTCCCTCGGTCTCATTTTTTGCCGGCATTATATGGCGTGCAGTGATCGCTTAACTGAGATATCTGAATGCTCATTATATACCTCACCTGTTTTTCAGTGGAACATCGTTTAAAGAGATCTTTAGTGGGGACGGCTGGAGTCGTCAGTGCATAGCACGTGATGTTATCAATTAAATATCAGCCTTTCCATAACGCAGCCAAGTACAAAATGAGGTTAACAATTTGACCAGAGAGGTGCAGTTGCTTTCCAAAGCAAAAGTTAACCAGGCTAAACCTTGATGATCTATCCTCCTTTTAACTTCACTTTGGTGTAGTAATTTAGGTATTCCCGATGGGACATTACTTCAAAAAGCGATAACGAGGTAATCAAGTCTTTTGAGCTGGCGTAATGCTCCGCTACCACTCGAGCAAAAAAAAAAGATAACGAATCTTATATGTCTGGTAATCCTCCAATTAATAGCCTTATAAATATTAAGAATAACAGTGCCTTGGAGCCCCATAGAAGCAGTTCTTCAATGGATTACTCACACACTTATTCTTTCCGTTAACCGGATTATTCGTTGCGCAAAATCTTACAGCACACCATGGCAGACACTTCTCAATTATTTATCTTTCGATCATAAGAACGTTCAAATGCCTCGTTTAGGCTTCCGTGCACAGCGAAAACCCTAAGCCTTGCTTAATCACACAAATTTAGTGAAAAACGTTTAATCGAAAAAAAAGTGCATGTCAGAAAAAAAGGCCATATAGCATGTGTGAATAGGCAATGTTGATTGTTGTCTTTAAAACTCGAACAAAATGAACAACGAATTATTATCTTATTGTAAGATGTACGACAGAATCATTAAGTTATAAGTACGTATTGGAAAAGTATCGCGTTAGTTCGTTCATCGTACAAACTGCTACTAAAGGTATCATGCACGTGACAATGTTGACTATTCCTTCATTCACACACACAAAAAAAAAATTGGCAAGAAGCACGGGGCTCTTGTGAATACCGTGAATGCTTTAAGTGATTGCCGTAGTGCTTAACAAAGTGCATTTCTTAATGTCGTGTATTCGCGATAATTTTTCGTGCAGGAATCGATCATCCACGTGTGCAAGTCCGCACATACCAGGAACCACAGTACGCAAGAAAACAAACAACACCTAAGAGCTGCTCTTTCGCTTGATCCGTCAAACAAACGCTTATTAAGTGAAGGCGTTTCACACATCTCAAGTTCTCCATTTATTTGTTCATTTGAACGGATTAAAGTCCGCTACGATGGAAAAGCTACTACGGTGCTCATCAGATAATACCAAGGTCGTGGGTTCGACCCCGGCTGAGGCGGCAGATTCCAATGGATGTGAAATGCTAGACGCCCGTGTTGTGTGCGATGTTGGTGCACGAAGAACACCAGAGGGTCGAAATTTTTTTGGAGCCTTTCACTACGGCGTCTCTCGTGATTATATCGTGTTGTTGGGACGTAAAACGACATATATTATTATTACGAACGGATTACCGCTGCTCTTGCGGTTATCCATTACTTCTACATTTCGTTAGAGAAAACAGAGGGAATTTGGCAATAATAAAACTGGACTAGCAGTGAAGAAAAGAAGTGTAGATTTAAGGGCTGGTTTTCTGTGTTAGGCACAACGTTTAGTGAGATCTAACGGGCAATAATCATGCCAAGACAAGTTTATGGGAGGGTACAGGAGGTATACATGTAATGTAACTGAGACTTCCGGTTCTATGCAGCACACATTCACTGAAACATTCTGTTGAACACACAGTGCAGCACGACAAGCTATGCGGCTTCCCAGAGTTTATTGTTTTAAAATAGGGCCCCATGTATTTTCAGTTGGCGGTGTTCAATTGTACTGGGAAGCCAAACGCTTTCTGGTGTGGTACTGCAATTTTACCAGAATGCTCTAGCGGATCTTAGCTGCATATGAGGGGGAGTCGTTTTTCGTGACTAGCTCTCTTCGTCGGATATAATATTTTTCGCCAACTTACTATTCAGTTGGGGAAGAACGCTGTTCGTGTCGCCAAGAGATGGCGCCAAGTACAGATGTCCTCTAGAGATACTATGCTACCTGTAAGGTGCAGAGCATCGCCAAGGTACGCCGTGTTGGGCTCCATCTCTATGCGGGAAAGCCACGTTTCATCTACGTAGGAGACGCGCTCGCGGTACGTTGCCAGTACTTTATTTTCCTTTTTGTTTTTGTTAATAAAACTAGGTTGCTTGGCTCAAATTTACTATCTTGCTAAGAAGCGCAGCCACTATAACAAAGAACACACAACACAAGCGCTTGTGTTGTGTGTTCTTTGTTATAGTGGCTGCGCTTCTTAGCAAGATGGATCCTTACCAACTGGCCCGATACAATTGTTTATCAAATTTACTAGCCGCGATATCACGCTGATGCTACTAGTATGTTCTGTGCCAAATACTGGGAGTTAAAAACAACCTCAGGTGTTATACCTCGAACAACATTTTATCTTCGCGCTTCCATTTACCAGCCAGCCAGAATATGGTATTTTTCCTTCGCGTTTGGCTCCCTTGCGCTAACTGTGGAAGGGGGTAAACTGTTCTGGAGAGTGTTCAACCTGACCAGACTTGAGAGCGATAACCATGCACGCTTGACTTGCATGTATACGCGATTGTGGCTCAAGAGTCTGGAAGATGTGACTGCGCGATTCAAGTGCGCTGTCGCGTCCAAGATTGCTCGTGGTTAAGTCATGAAACATGAATTCAACTGCAAACTGAGCCATTGTACGCACATGAATTCAAAGTGAGCAAACTGAGCCATTGCACGCACATTTGAATTCCTTTTTTTCTTTTTTTTTCTTTTGCAATGTTGGTGAACAATGTTTTGCAGTTTTACAATGTTAGTCGAACACAAGGTATTCGCAAGTGAACGCGAAAGCTTTCTTACAGCTAAAATGGCGAACTGACATGTCACAGCATGACATTAAAGTATGTGCGGGCTTTTGCGTCCCAACACCACGATACCCTTACAAGGCAAGCTGTAGTGTAAGGCTCCTGAAACTTCGAAAACCTGGTGTTATTTAACGTGCACCTAAATCTTTTCACCGAAGTCGAAAATACAGCCGCTGTGGTAAATTTAACCCGTAACCTTTGGGATGAATCCGAGCACTGCAACCATTAAATCACTGCGTCGGCCCGCAGCACGTCATTAACACCAACGCTATTCGAGAACAGATATCAGACTTACCCGAATAGTTCATATCCTGGATCGCACGTGTAGGTGGCCACTGTGCCCGACGAGAGCTCACCGTTTGTGAAACTAACTGTTGCGTACAAGGGCACGGCAGGTGGTGGGCAGGACTCCGCTGCAAGCGTAAAAAAAGAAAATAGGGAACCATTAGTGTAATTCGCTGCCACCTTAAGGTCGGCGATTGATGCTGCAAGCTTTGGAACGCTTCTGCATGCACAACACAAGCACGTTTTCGGTTGAAATTTCCAGAAATCGGCTGGGTGTTTAGTGGTCACTACGTACCTTAACTTAGTTGATCTCAGCCAAATACACATATATGACAAAGATAAAACGGCAAGCGTCTCAAAAACAACCAGTTCTGTTGCCTTTGTCCTTCGTTTCTTGCGTAGGTACATTGGAATGTCGTATACCAGGAAGTCGAAATTCAAGCTTTACTGCGTATCGGTAGCCTATTAAGGTTATCGTAACACCTAATGCGATAAGGAACGCAGGAAGAAGAAGACCTCACCATCTTCAACTTCTAGGTCAACAAATTAGCAGCAATGTCGAAAGACTACTTCTTTTTTCATATGGTACACACTTGCGGCACGTAGTCGCAAGTACACCATAGCAATTTCAATCATTTTCGATTATTCTTCCACATTGTTGCCTCAATCATTGCTCTAACCACCAGCTCGGCTCAAGGCGGCAAGTAACGTTGAAACAGTGTTGCGCAGGTTGTGAATTCATGACGAGCGAAATCAGCCCAAAATCAACGCCAGACCAGATTGGAAAGGCCACAGGACAAGCGTGCACCTAACGGCTGAAGGTTTGACTTCAAAAAGAGTTCATTCATGGGTGGTCTAAAACAGTTGTCCAGCAAGAAAATAAACGAAAAATTCTCAAATCTGTACAGTGGCGTCCACTGTTAACGCGCCACACTCACTACTGTACTGCAGTACCACTGCTGCCATAACTAGGTTCAACAGCGACGTATAGCTCTCCAGAAACGTCGTAAACGTGAAGTGTCTGTTTAGGCCTCGTGACCATTAACTGTTAAAGTACCAATAGGCTCTCCCGATGAACGAACAATGATTTAATACAAAACCGGCTACCATGACTGAAGAAGTACCTTGCTTCGTTTCCAAGTAAAACATTGATGATTCATATGTGGGGTTTAACGTCCCAAAACCACCATATGATTATGAGAGACGCCATATAGTGGAGGACTGCCCCGCCACGGTGGTCTAGTGGCTAAGGTACTCGGCTGCTGACCCGCAGGTCGCGGGATCAAATCCCGGCTGTGGCGGCTGCATTTCCGATGGAGGCGGAAATGTTGTAGGCCCGTGTACTCAGATTTGGGTGCACGTTAAAGAACCCCAGGTGGTCAAAATTTCCGGAGCCCTCCACTACGGCGTCTCTCATAATCAAATAGTGGTTTTGGGACGTTAAACCCCACAAATCAATCAATCAATCAATATAGTGGAATACTTCAGAAATTTCGACCACCTGGGGTTCTTTAACGTGCAGCCAAATCTAAGCACATGGGCCTACAGCATTTTCACCTCCATCGAAAATGCAGCCGGCGCAGCCGGGATTCGATTCCGCGACCTGCGGGTCAGGAGCCGATTACCTCAGCCACTAGATCACCGCGGCGGGGCTTCCAAGTAAAACAAGATGGTCGCACATTCCTTTACACATTTACCCACGAAACAAAGGCAGGGGCCATCTTCTTTTCTTCTGCCTATTCAATAGCATGGCAAACCGCACCCTTTCGCACGACGTCCACAGAGATGTCATCATGTGAAAGCACGTTATGACTTCACAGTGACGTCCTCACAACACCACCACTTTGGCAACATGACACGACATGGCGATGTCCTATGGTGAGGTCAATCATGTGACAATTTTTCGCGTCACCTGTGTTGAGGTCGATGGTCCCTTATTGCGTTTCTTGAGACATTTGGGACTTTTCAATCTCACCAGCTTTGTTTCTTTGTTACAGCTAGAAAGAAATAAAGGCACCAACATTACCTCACGCGCGTCATGACCCTTTCCTATAGCATGGGGTCATTGTCGTGCCTTGGCAATCAGCATTCACGGCCATCCTCGGCGGAAGGAGCGTTCACCTGTCCGAACCCGCGACCATGCCACTCGGCCTCGTCTGTGCTGAGGTCAACCCTAAACAACTCGGCACTGGCGTCAAGGGCCAGCAAAATGATCGCGTCACCGGCAATTCGAGCCCAGAGGTCACCACCTCTATTTTCACGATGTCATCTCGTCCACCGAGTGTGCGGAGCAAGCTTTCTAGAAACACCTTCCAGTCGTCTGTCGGCCAGGCCCAAAAAGCCGCATGATGTTCTGTGCGACTGGTTAAGACGATTACAAGGCGAAAGTCACTTTATTTTGCTTCTCATCCCATTTATTGATCCTCCTCCCCACAGTTCGCGGAGCATTTTCTGCACGTAGTCTGATGTGACACTGCCTTCATGATTAGTGCACATGTGACCAACCGATGTCAATTGATCGAGTTATCATGGCACCTCACGTCATTTGACGTAATATAACGACATGATGACGCTGCAACATATCGAGGTCCTTTACATAATCACGAAGTGATGTCCTGACATCATCGCCTGGCGATTTCTTGCGTAACTCGTACTTACGTGGCCGACGATCCATTTTCGAGCTCGATCAGGCATTAAGAGCTCTCACCTTGAAATCAATGTGCAACCATGGTGAAGGGTAGTTACGCTGCCTACAGAATTCAACAACTGTGTGCTAGGTCAGGTCACGAAAGGAATAGGGGGCAACGTGCCAGTCTCTTGCGTCAAAGTTTTAACGGCGGTTTTGAAACCTGCCGATGAATTTATTCCTATTTATTCAACGGCTACAGCACGTATTCTTTTCCATTCTTTTGCGCAAGTTCTAATTTTTGTCCTTATGCATTGCGTTTCCTTTTTACACATAAAACTACGTACAATGGCAAGCCACATAAATAAAATAATGATGAATACCATCGGAAGTTTTCAAGCAGCAACTGTAACCAATAGTATCCGAACAAAAAGTGAAAAAGGTGGGAATTCAATCGCTGACACAGCGTTGAATTTCGCACAATTCAGCGTATTTCTTCCTGCAACGATATCGCTATCGTCTCACGTTTCCTGTGCTTTACTATGTATCGATTTCAATGGGCCAAAGGGTGTTGCATGTCTTTCCTGGCAGTTTGTCTCTGTCGGACACAACGTGCATAAATACGTCATTTTTGAAAATATGTGCTCCTTCTTTCTCGAACGCAGCTGGACTATTTTCTAGAGTTAAAATTCGCGAAGCAAGTCCAGCTCATTGATGAAATATTCATCTCACGGTTGCTTTCTTTTTTAGGTCGTATATGGTTTCTTTGTATTCGTCCCTCTGTTTAAAAAAAAAGGTTAAAAAAAGAAGAAGACTGTTCATTCGACTACTCGGGATGCAAGTTCATTCAATACTGAAACGAAACTCACGGTCGAGAAGGTTGACTTTGAAAGGATTGTCGGTGACTCCGATGAAGAAAAAAAGAAAACCGAAGAGAGAAACGATTCAAAATAGCGAACTGTTGGGCTAGTTGGTTTGACATTTGGCAAAGGAGAGCGAAGGCTTGGGAAAGAAATAAGACGCAAGTTGAGCGTCTTTGTACGAAGTAGTCTTCTTTTACTTCGCTCTTTTTATGCCAAAAGAGAAATACAAAAAGCAATGAATAAGACCTGAAGGGCCCACTTCGATGCTCATTTTATTGCGGTGACCCGGCAGGACGCAACTGCGCGAAATAGGCTAGAGGGGAGATGGAAGAAACATCTCACATTTTGACTTTGTCGGTGTACGCATTGGCCAAGCTCAGGCCACACAAGGAAAAAAAAATGAATCAGAAGCCCTCTTGCTTCCGATGACAAAGGGAAATGCGGAAACTGCCGGTGCGGTCAGCGAGCGTTAGTTTTGCCTGATAATTCAATAAAGTTGCTTAGTTTTGTGGTATAGTTCTCTTTTTTTTTCTGTAGCCAATACTTCGTGTGGCCTGAATACGGCGCCTTTCAACGATCGCTATAAAACGGTTCTTGAGGGCGGACCTGTGCTCGATTCGAGATAAACCGAAGTTCTACGCAAAAGAGCCACAGACGTTGATACAAATGGGACTCCAAGAGATGGAGCGTATACCACTAGAAGCCTCACCATAAGCGCTTTGAAGGGCCTCTAAAGTACCACTGAAAATAAAAAAAATGAGCGAGCTATGTCGTTTCCAGCCTTTCGGCGCTATCCGTGACACCAACAGTGCGATCATGTGACGTCACGGGGAAATAAGTTCTCGACCATATACGAGAAATTTCATTTGTGCGTCGTCTCCCGCATCCTTCTGTGCCATGTTGTTGCGCACATCATGCGTGATCACCCGGTCTCACTTGATTGTGTTTCCATAACAGCCCCCACCTTTGTGCTAATCTTTTTCTTTCACCGTCCTACGGGTCCTCTCGCATCGATCATGCGCACAAAGTTGGTATACCGATATGCCAAACAAGAACGTGTTCAGAATCTTTTGTCCCACGCACCAGCAAAGACTGGAACCAGCTTCCTGGAGCGACTGCTGCGATTACTGATTATCAGCTGTTTCGCGCTGCACTAACAAACATTGTAAACTGAGGTTACTTATGACGTGTGCCTTTTTCGTTTTTTTATGTTCTTGCGTGTTCTGATGTGTTTTGTAGCTAGAATTGTATACTAGGATTATTTAAAATATGTACACTTGATCTCTTTTGTTCTGCTTTTGTGTCCTAACTTTGTTATCAGCTAAAATTGATTATTCAGTAAACGTTGAATCCTGTACTCCCCTTTACTCTCCTTCTGAATCCATTTTTTGTAAACCCACTTCCTTCTTCAATGCCTCTGGCCCTGAGGGTACAATAAATAAATAAATAAATAAATAAATAAATAAATAAATAAATAAATAAATAGACTGTGAAAGTGACGATAACAGCATGTGACCTAGAAACGCAGAACCCTGACAACATTAACGCTAGGTGCTGATATTTTCCACGTGCCTAATGAAAAACTGAGTAGCGAGGAGGTGAATATAGCAGCCTTAGAAATCGTCGTGAAGGCTACAAA